TTGGTAGGAATATATTAACGAGCTTAAGGGAAATAATATATTTAATTTATTCTATTTTTTTAGAATATGTGTGGAGCAATATATTTGATTTTAGATGTCACATTTCAAGTACCCATCTAGAGAAGAATGAATAAGTGAATATGATGATGGTTTTAAAAAACTTATGGATTGTGGATAATTGGAATTATTGAGTGAGGCTACTTAACATGAAAAAGACAAGGCTTGAAGTGATCCTGATATGTCTTTACATGTGTAAAAAACATTGACGGGATAGAAAATTCAATATATTCTTTGTGATTTAAGGGTTCATGAAAGTGACTTATAAAGAGGGAGATTTCATCTTACTACAGGAAAGTGTTCTGATAATTGGAGTGGTCTGAAGGGCTGTATCACATCAGTGGAACTCTTCAAGTAGAGATCCTGGCATTGATTTATGAGGTTAGACTTGATGGCTTCTAAAGCCTCTATGACCTGGAAAGTCTATGAATCACCTCTCTGGGATTTGAATTGCATTCAGGGCTAATGAGCCACTCAAGAATTATTTTGGGAAATGAATTAGTAGAAGTCACTAGCTATTTGAATATGTCAGTAGCAGAACAGTGAAGTAGTCAGTAAGAACCTAGGTAATATCTCATTTTTAAAAAATATATATATTTTATTAATTTTGTACAGAGAGGAAGGGAGAGAGATAGAGAGTTAGAAACATTGATGAGAGAGAGTCATCAATCAGCTGCCTCTTGCACACCCCCTACTGGGGATATGCCCGCAACCAAGGTACATGCCCTTGACCGGGAATCGAACCCCGGTCCCTTCAGTCCCCAAGCCGACGCTCTATCCATTGAGCCAAACCGGTTTTGGCAATATCTCATTTTGAATGTTATTTGCTCTGTTATTTTGAACAACTTATTTTCTTTTGTGTGTGTGTGTGTGTGTGTGTGTGTGTGTGTGATATTTGTATTGATTTCAGAGAGGGAGAGAGAAATAGAAACATTAATGATGAGAGAAAACCATTGATTGGTTGCCTCCTGCATGCCCTTCACTGGGGGGTCATATTTCGTTTTATAACTCAATCAGTGTAATACTTTTAATATATATATATATATATATATATATATATATATATATCTCGATTGATTTCAGAGAGGGAGGGAGAGAGATAGAAATATCAATGATGAGGGGGAATCATTGATTGGCTGTCTCCTGCACGTTGGACCGAGCCTGAAGCCCATGCATGTACTCTTGACCAGAATCAAACCTGGGACTGTGCAGTCTGCAGACCGACTCTCTATCCACTGAGCCAAACCAGCCAGAGCTCACTGGGGTTTTCTTGTTTGTTTGTTTGTTTGTTTGTTTAATAACTTTTCAGGTAGCTTGCCTAAGCTCATTTGTATAGAAATATTTTCTATTTGAGTTACTTTATCCAAAACTTATAATATTTTAAAACGAAGAGATATGTTTGTCTGTTTACAATGTTTCTCTATTTGGTGTGCCTACATTATTTGTAAATTTTTTAAATTACTCTGTTATTTGGAGGGTTTGTATTTATACCTTTTATAGTATCTCTCTAACCTCCTTTTTCTTGTTTACCACCTGGTCAATCAATAGTAAATGGCAACCTTTGATCCCTTCCATTACCTATATGACAGTGATCTAATTCTACTTTTGCCCTTTTTTCGCATTCCATTGTTGTTGTTACTGTTGTATTTTTTAATCCTTACCTGAGGATGTTTTTTCCATTGATTTCTAGAAAAAGAATGAAACATTGACAGGAGTGAGACACATGGATTGGTTGCCTCCCACACCCATCCCCACTAGGCTTGGGGAACCTGCAATCCAAACCAGAAATTGAACCCACCACTCTATGGTCTGCAGGCTGATACTCTAACCACTGAGAAAAACTGGCCAGGGCCTCCCATTGTTTTTCATTGCATTCTTTCTACTTCATCTAAACATGTAACTTTTATTATTATTTTACCCATGTCTCCTACCCTTAATTTAGTTTTTACTGTACAATTGCATATGTGTCCTTTGCTCCTGTATCTCCGATTATTTGTTGGTTAGATGGCACACATCTTCTAGAATATTCCTTAGGAAAGGCTTGTATGTACAGCATTCCCTGAGTTCTTGCACATGCAAAATGTTTTTCCTTCTATAACCTTGATATTTGAAGGACAGCTTGGCTGGGTATGAAATCCTTGGCTTACAGTATTTTAAAAATCATCTTTATTGAGGTAGAATTTATATGAAAATTCACCAAATTTTAAGGTTACAATATTAAAAATGTGATGAACAAATATAGTCTAAACTACCACCCTAATGGTCAGCAAACTACAACCCACAAGCCAAATGGGCCTGCTGTCTTTTTTTTCAAAATAAAGATTATTTTACCACAGCCATGTCCTTTCATTAGTGTTGTCTGTGCTGTTCTTACAGTACAGTGGCAGAGTTGAGTAGTTGCACTGAAGACTATCTGGCCTGCAAAGCCTAAAATATTTACCATTTGGACCTTCACAGACATTTGCTGATATTTAATACAGAAAATTTCTTTCACTCACCAGGTTCCCTCATTCCCTTTTGAAGATAATCTCTTTTCACCCCCAATACCTAGTAGCCACAGGTTGGCCTTCTGCCACTAGAGTTTTGAATTCTATAGAATTTGATATAATTGGAATGGTATAGTGTGTACTCTTAGCTGGCTTCTTCCACTAAGATTAGTGCTCTTGAGATGCATTCATGTTGTTGGATATATCAGTCGTTTGCTCCTTTTTATTGTGGACTTGCACTTTCCTTAAATTTCGTGAAAATGCAGCTTCATTCTTTTTTTTTTTTTTTTTTTTTTGGATGTTGGTGGTTGAAACCTTAAGAAACCTGATTGCCTAAAATTCTTTTATTCCTATCAGGTAATTTAATTTTTTGTTTTGAAAAATTCTGAAGAAATTTTTTTCTTGCCTTTAAAGTCTGATAGTTTTATTGGTGGATGTCTTGGGGTTGTTTCTGATAATTTTACTCACTTTCTGCTAAGTTTTCTTTTAAACATTAGATTCTGTTAAATCAGCTGAAATGTTTTTATTTGCCTTTTTTTCCCCATAGACTTGAATGGAGTTTTTTCTTTTTCTTTTTCCTATTTTTATAGTTCCAGAGCAACTTTTGTCAGTATGGTGACTTGCAGTTTCTTTAATGACTGATGGATGATATTGATAGTGATAATGGGAAAAGGGAAGGAGTTGGCAGGTCTTGCTCTTTTGTTTCTGCGGGATCCTTAATTTTCTAGCTTCTTTCATTTCATTACCACTTCAAGAGACACTATCCTTTCCCTGCTTACCAGATTGTCCCCCAGAAATAATGCTTTTCCTGGTTGCCACCTTTAGTCTCACTAATTTTTTTAAACAACTTTTCTAAAGTATAATTCCATACATACCATATCATTCACCCATTAAAATTTTTAAATTTAGTGGTTTTCAGCAAAACCTGTTTTGGTTAAAAAATTTATTTCTGGATTATTAAAATCAAGTCTTACAGATTTTAGATCTGTGAGTACAGGAATGATGCTGTGTTATTTATTCTTACTAGAGGCCCAGTGCACAAAATTCATGCGTGGGGGGGGGGTCACTCAACCTCACCTGCACCCTCTGGCAATCTGGGACCCTTGGCTTTCTAACCGCTTACCTCCCTGCCTGCCTGATCATCCCTAACTGCTCTCCCTTGCTGGCCTGATCACCCCTAACCACCTCTGCCTTGGCCCCCACCACCATGGCTTTGTCCAGGATTTCCGGAAGACATCCGGTCTAATTAGCTTATTATCCTTCTATTAGTATAGATAATCCTAAGCATGTCTGTGTCTGGTGTGTACTAGTCAATAAACATATTGAGTTAATAAGGGCTTTATTGAAAAGTTAACCATGTGCATGCTACCATGAGGGTTATTGAAGTTTAACATACTATGTATTTAAGCTTAAAGAATTGATAGGTGGGATAAACAAATATATATTTTTAACCTTGATTTACTTTTTGAAAATTTTGTTTCTCTTGGATTCTGTAGTTTATCTGCTTGATTTTCATCCACCTCTGTGGTTACTCCTTGTCATAATCTTTGAAGGCTCCACTTCTTTGCATTTCTCTTAAATGTTTACATTTGTTTTTCTTCTCTGTGTAATCTCTTCTGGCCACTTTAGTTCACTTTCATTGCTTCACTTGCTGTCTATATAATTAGAAATCTGTATCTCTCCTAGATCTCCTTCCTGAGCCACAGATCCATGTGTTCAACTGACCATTGAATATCTCCATTTGTGTGGTTCATAGCCCCTAACTGTATAAATCAGTTATCCTTTTCCTCCTTAACTCTGGTCCTTCTCCCGGATTTCTCAAATCAATATATGACAGCATCTAAACTTCTTCCCCCTCCCCCTTTTCCAAATCTAGTTAGTCAGCTGTGTGTGTATGTGTGTGTGTGTGTGTGTGTATAGTGGGATAAAAGAAGGTTTACAGTTATGAGTATAGGAAACACAGTTTATTCTTATATTATTATTTCTTGATTATTTTCCATATAACAATTGGAAACCTACCTTTGCCCATCCTATTACCTTCCAAATATGACTCAAGTCCTTCTACATTCTTACTGTTGTCATTGAAGACCAGGTTGTGATTACTGGACCATTACAATAACTTCCAATCTTGTTTTTTTCCAATTCAGCCTCTACAGAGCAGCCAGAATAATTATTCTAAAATTCATCTGATTATCTTTTTAAAAAATATATTTTATTGATTTCAGAGAGGAAGAGAGAGGGAGAGAGAGACAGCAATAGAAACAGCAATAATAAGAGAGAATCATTGATAACCTTTTTCTTGCGCACCCAGTGCACCCTGAGCGTATGCCCTGACCTGGAATTGAACCATAACTTCCTGGTCCATAGGTCGATGCTCAACCACTGACTGATCCACACCAGCTGGGCACATCTGATCATCTTATTTCCAGCTTTAAATATTTGCCTCATTCATTTCAGAAAATGGAATCATCAAGACAGATAAAGTATTTGAAGTAATGCTGGCTACGGACCGTGCCCACTATGCAAAATCTAACCCTTATATGGATTCTCCACAATCAATAGGTAAGCTTTGAATTTCTAAAAATGTCAATTTTTACTCATTTACTCTATAATTTTTGTAAGGAAAAATGGACTAGGACACGGGTATTTATTATTGCCTTGCTGGTTTGAATGTTATGCCTTTATAATAAAGTATTATATGTTTAGGAAGTAGCTTTTCTATTTTCTCAAGTATATACTATATGTAGAGAATTTTATAAACAATTTTTCTGAAAATATACTTTTAATGAAAATTTATGCGATTAAGCTGAGTGCTGAGTTGTCTTTAAGGACCTTAATGCTGACTAAGGTTGTTTTTCCCATTAGCATCAATTTTAAAAATTAATACTAAGGATAAGTGTACTTAAGTTATCATTGACTTCTCTGCTTCACTTTCCCTGAATTTTTTGACTTGTACTTGACTTTAGAAAGTTCCATTTTTAATTCCTTCTCCTGAAGCAGGTTTTTTGCTGAGCTGCTGAGCCTTGGCAGTGGGCGCCTTTGAGGCTTAGAAGTGCCTCAGGATTCTGTGGGCCAGCTGCCATGCTTTCTTCTTTTGAAGCACAATGACAGTCAGCAGAGAAGATCCTGGGGGCTTCTGAACCCGAAGGCACCTGCTACCACCGCTCAGTGAAAATTGCTTCAGAGGCAGAAGCAGGTAAATACATTTTGAGAAAGCAGTCCCAGAAGAAACAAATTGAAAGCTGAAAACTAAGAAAAGATAGTGTGAATTTACATCCGGTGATGGTATAAGAGTAAATAGAAATAGTTTATTAGTCTCTTAAGCCACTTTGCTGGTTCTCTAGTTTATTTTTAGGTTGCCAGAAATATGAAGCAGTTTAATTTTGCAAAGATTTTTCATACCTATTATATATAGAAGCTTATTTTATTTTTATAAGTCTGAAGAGAAAGCAAGTTATAAACTTACCAACTCAACTTACTGAAATCCTTCCTTTCTTAGCCAAGAGAAGAAATCTTTAAAAAATAGTGGGTACTAGCATTTGGCATGATTGGATTTCCTAATTTTAACTTCTGCATGACAAAGTGCAAAATAAAATTTTGTTTTCTTGTGATCATAAAAATGAAAATTATTCTGAAAAGTAACTAATGGATGCTAGAAAAGGAGTTCCATGGAGTATTTGGTATGATTGTACAGCCGAATTTATCAGTAGTTCTCCTCTTTTTTTGTAGGTTTCCAAGCAACAATCAGTGCTCCACACATGGTAAGTTAACTTTGGTCATTTTGACTAACCAAGTCATTTCATTCTCTAATCAAGCAAACGAGCAGAGTGAAGCCACTGGTTGACAGTTATATACCAGATTTCCTAAGAGTTTACCAAATAACCCTAAATAGAAGTTAAAGATCAATTAATTGTCACTTTTACCTTTATAAATGACTATGAAGTACCTTAAAGATTAACAGCAACAAGTCATTGTGCTGTAATGGTTGACTTTTTCTTAATGTAAACAGTATACATTTCATTTGTAAATCCATTAGAATTTATAAAGTATTTTTTTAATGCATTATGACTTTTATTCACAATGATACTTCTGTGGAGAAAGCAGAATAGGAACAACTGTTTTTCTCTCCATGATATGGAAACTGAGGAACAGTGAGCTAAAAATAATTTCCAATATCATGGGGCTAATAAATTCAGAACCAATAGAATCCAGTACTTATGGTGTTTAATCTAGAACTCTTTTTCATAAACTGGTTGTTTTTACTTTTTAAAAATATATATATTTTTATTAATTTCAGAGAGGAAGAAAGAGGGAGAGAGAGAGACAGAAACATCAGTGATGAGAGAGAATCATTGATTGGCTGCCTCTTACATGCCATGCCCCCCAATGGGGATGGAGCCTACAACCCAGGCATGTGCTCTTGACCAAAATCAAACCTAGGACCTTTCAGTCCGCAGACCGATGCTCTATCCACCAAGCTAAATTTGGCTAGAGCTGTTTTCACTCTTTAGACAAGAATCTTTGCAAAAGAATCTATGTGATTTCTTTTTGCTGAACCATTTTAAACATAATGTTTCACTGCTAGATACTTTAGTATAAATATGAAAAACTTTAAAAGCACAGCTACAATTCCACATCATACCCAACAATATCCCTTAATATATTCTTAACTGGTAATATTGGTTGTCTTTAGGGAGTGAAACTGGTTGGGGATGAGGATGGGGATGGTTAGAACCAGGGCTGTGATAGAGATTTCACTATAAGTCATTTTGTAACTTTTGACTTTGAAGTAATTACATTTCAAACTTCACACACTGGAGATAAAAAGTTACTGAAACATTTTAAACAAATGGAAGAATTTAATCAGTGAGAATTTTCTTAAGTAATTCCTGTGTAGATATAAGTACTATATGTTTTCGTTGTCTTGATAGATGACATAGTAGTAACATTGGTATGAAGTTGGCAACTTTATTCATATGCCATGGTATATATACTTTATATTCTTTTAAAAAAAATTGATCTCCCTGAGATCAACAGAATATATATATTATATATATAATATATATATATATATATTCTGTTGATCTCAGAGAGGAAGGAAGAGAGAGAGAAAGATAGAAACATAATTAATGAGAGAGAATCATTGATCAGCTAACTCCTGCAAGCTCCCCAGTGGGGATCAAGCCCGCAACCTGGGCATCTGCCCTTGACCGGAATCAATCCTAGGACCCTTCTCTCCGCAGGCCAATGCTCTATCTACTGAGCCAAATCAGCTAGGGCATATACCTTATATTCTTGAAAAAAAGTGAATATTTGCTTTGTTTTCTTTTGGCAGCATGCATATGCACTAGAACTTTTATTTGATCAACTGCATGAAGGAGCTAAAGCTCTTGATGTAGGATCTGGAAGTGGAATCCTTTCTGCATGTTTTGCACGTATGGTAAGACCTTTATTTTTCATTCTGGCCCCAACAGAAGCATAGTTCTACATGTCCTACTTAGGATTTTAATATATCAGTAGGTTTTTATTTTATTTTATTGATTTTTCACAGAGAGAAAGAGAGAGGGATAGAGAGTTAGAAACACCGATAAGAGAGAATCATCGATTAGCTGCCTCTTGCACACACCCCACTGGGGATGTGCCTGCAGCCAAGGTACATGCCCTTGTCCGGAATCGAACCCGGGACCTTTCAGTCCGCAGGCCGATGCTCTATCCACTGAGCCAAACCGGTCCCAGCGGAATTTTTTTATTGTTGTTGGAAGTGACAGGACAGTTTCTCTAAACTGGCAGAGCTAAAAGGGACTTTATTTGGTTTATATCATGGTTTCTTGTGTGGCTGGATTCAGATCAGATATTGTTGACAGTGGTTTTCTCCGTGGTTCTCGGTTTGCCTTTCCTTTTCTCCACATGTTGATTTCATTATCAGACCAGCTCTTCTCTTGTGGTCAGAGATGGTATGGTAACCAGTAGTTCCCAGACTACATTCTTCCAAGTTTTCATCTGGCAGAAAATAAACACTCCTTCAGCTTTATTAGGAATGAGGGTAGAGAGTCCTTTACAATAAGAAAAATACTCTTAGAAAAATGCCTTGTTTATTATATTTGATTATTCACCAGAGGCTTATCTGGTAAGTGACCACCAGAGTGTAAGTCTGGAGGTCCATTCACACACCTTGAGGAAGGGTTTGCCTGCACTCAGATAATAAATCAGTTAGTTATGGAAATCTTGTCCCTGGAGGCCAGATTGGAAGTTTCTGATTTAGTTAGGTTGGATTTATGGATTCATCTTGGACTAGAATTCATTTAACTGCTGTAAATGTATAATCAGCAGACCACTAGCATGTGAGTTCCAGAGAGCTGGGAGTTTTGTCTGATTTTTATCCTTAGCATATCTTAAGCATTCAGAACAGTGTCTTGTACTTAATAAGGATTCAGATAGTTCAGTATTTTTAACTTGTACAAGTTAAGCATCACCAATGAGATGTAATGGACTAATTTTTTTTTTTAAGCTTAGAAATATTTAGTGAGATATTTTCTATATTTGACATATCTATGGTTTCAAGGGAAAATTTATGTTTTAAAAAATCATTGAATTTTTTGTGTTTCCTTTTTAACAATGATAGTAATTTAAGTTAATGATTTTTGTACACTTAGGACGTGCTAGTCAGTGTTCTAAATGCTTTTCTTGTATTCTCTTATTCAATCCTCACATCATTTATGAGGTATGTATCTTTTACTTCTCATTTTACAAAACTGAGGAACCTGATTCATAAAATCACTTGCCAAGGTTATACACTTGTAAGTAATGAAACTTAGATGTGAACCCAGGTAGTCTGACATCAGTCTTTATTATGTTAAAGTTTTTTTTATAATGTTTATATTGGGGCCTTTTTTTAATGTATTTTATACTTTCCACAAAATGGCAGTAGAATCAGGTATAAAAATCCCTATTAAAATTACTTAAATCCCTACAAAATGTCATGTAACATTTATATGTATTTTAATACGTATATATTATAATCTTCACAAGAGGATATGTTTATTGATTTTAGAGAGAGGAAGAGAGAGAGAAACATCAATCAGTTGCCTCCCATACTCACCCTGACAGGGGATCGAACTCACTAACCTTTTCGGTATATGGGACGACACACCAACCAACTGAGCCACCTGGCCAAAGCTGTAATTTTAATATGTAAAGTCACACTTCTAGATTTATTATGAGTGAAAATGATTGCATTAACTACTATTTAATACTGGCAGTTAAGTCCTCCATCATGGTACAGAATTTAAAGATTATAAATTGAAGAATGATAGCATTTTTCTTAGTATTATAATTAAAATTGATTCTAGCTTTTTAATTACTGAAATATAATTATTCATTTGTGAGTTATAGTTGAGAAAGTTGTAATAGCTAAATAATGTATAATTATCCGAATTTTTTTGTCTTCATTTCTCATTGCACAATATAACTTTACATTAGGAAGCAATTTAATGACATTTGGAATGACAAATTTAGACCAGTGAGCTATTGAATTATTCTCATTTCCAGGTTGGAGCTAGTGGAAAAGTCGTAGGAATTGATCACATTAAAGAGTTAGTAGACGACTCAATAAACAATGTCAGAAAGGACGATCCTACACTTTTGTCTTCAGGAAGAGTGCAACTGGTTGGTGAGTATCAGAAAACTTAAAAAATTTCCTCTCTGCAGAATTTGTATTTTCAGATGTTCTCAATGCAAACTAAATAACAGAGCTAATTAATGCATTTTAAAAACATTTACTTCAAAGTACTAAGTAAGAAAAACAGTTCCTTGAAAATGTTATGCTAGTTCTAGATACCTTGACCGTGGGTGACATGACTGTTAACTGTCTCAGAAAGTGCCATGTTGAGTTCTTTCTTTATTGCTTTTTAAGAAGTAATGCCAAAGTAACAAGTGTTCATTATAAAAAAATGTAAACAGTGCAGAGATGTGTAAGATAAAAAGAAAACCCCTACTTTTCCCTTTTAACTATTCTAGACATATAAATATATGTATGAATAAATTTTCTTTAACTCATACTATACATATTGACCTATAATTTGCTTTTTTCCATTCAGTAATATACAATGGACATATTTACATAGGAGCACATTTTGTATTGTGAAAATAAAAAAACATTTAAAATGTATAAAGCATAAATGTGAAGCTTTATAAATATTTGTTTAATTGCCACACTAATCAAGAAGTGGAACATTATCTGTATCTTGATTCCTCAACTTCCTTTTTTCCTCACCATAACTTCCTTCCTTCTCCCTAGTGGTAACCAATATTATTATTATTCTCATGCATTTGCTACCTAATTGTATATCCAAAAAAAGAAATGTTTCCTTTAATTTTGAACTTTAGACAAATGGAATCATGCAGTATACATTCTATGATGAATGACTTCTTTCATTCAGTATTATGTATGTAAGATTCACCTATCTTTTTGCATACAGTTCATTTTTATTACTGTACAGCATTCCATTTTAAGAACATCGCCAAAATTTGTTAATTCTACTGTAGATGTGTATTTTAGTTGCTTCTAACTTGGGGATATTCACATTGCTGCTGTGACCACATGTATATCTAAGTCCAGATTTATATATATATACACACATATATACACACACACACACACACACACACACTCATTATACAGCACTCATTTCTGTAAGAGTGTTATGGTATGTTCACAGGGTTCCCATAAATATTGCAAAACTGTATTAAAATGATTGAACCAATTTACATTCCCACCAGCAATGTATCAGGTTTTCTATTGCTCTACCAACACTTGGCATTACTAGATTTTTCTTTTTGTCTACTTAGTGAATGTATGGCAGTATCTCTGTGATTTTAATTTTGTATTTTCCTATTAACCAGTGAGGTTGAACACTTTTTCATTTGGTTGGCCATTTAGATTTTTATTTTTGGGAACTGCCTATTCAGATATTGAGTTGTTTATATTTTTATTTGAGTTGTAGGACCTCTAGAGACTAGCTCTTTGTCTATTTATGCATATTATAAATTTCTTCTCCCACTATGTGGCATGCCTTTTCATTCTCATATTGGTACTTTTTAGATAAATAGAAATCTTAATTTTAATGTAGCCAGACTTAACACTTTTTTTCTAGTGCTTCTTGTGTCCTGCTTAAGGCTCCTCTGAAATCATGAAGACATTTTTCTATGTCATTTTTCAAAAGCTTTGTTATTTTAGCTTTTCACACTTAGGTATTTGATCTTCCTGGCATTGATTTTTGTGTATGTAAGAGGTGTAGGGATACAAGTATATAGTTTTTCCATATGCATATTCATTTGTCCAGCATCTTTTATTTTAAAAAAATAAAACACAAGAAATTGTTTAAAAACAAACAAAACTATCTTTTCCTGCTGTAAAATCTTCACACTAAGTCATTCTATCTGACAGGTATTGAAAGCATGATGTTTTTCTTTCAGTGGGGGACGGAAGAATGGGATATGCTCAAGAAGCCCCTTATGATGCTATTCACGTAGGAGCTGCAGCCCCCGTTGTGCCCCAGGCAGTGAGTTGTTTCTGTGTTTGTGTGCTTTATTCAACTAAGACTCTCAAAGATTTATAGATAAATGACTTTAGATAATGTTAAAAACATAGACTTTTATGTCATGCATTCATTTACAGTTAGTAGATAATACTTTTTTCCATATGCAAATCTTATATAATAAAGAGGTGATATGCAAATTGACCATCACACAATATGGTAGCCCCCGTGTGGTCAAAGATGGCCACCCCCGTGTGGACACAAGATTGCTGCCACAAGATGGCTGGCAGGGTAGGGAAGTTGTGGGCTATCAGGCCAGCAGGGAGGGCAGTTGGGGGCAATCAGGCCTGCAGGGAAGGGCAGTTAGGGGTTACCGGGCTGGCAGAGAAGGGCAGTTGGGGGCAATCAGGTCTGCAGGGAGGACAGTTGGGAGGGACCCAGGCCTGCAGGGGAGGGCAGTTGAAGGGGACCAGGCCTGCAGGAGAGGGCAATTATGGGTCACTGGGCCACAGGGGAGGTCAGTTGGGGCCAACCACGCCTGCCAGGGAGGACAGTTAGGAGCGTCCAGGCCGTCAGGGGAGGGCAGTTATGGGTGACCAGGCTGGTATGGGAGGGCAGTTAGGGGCAATCTGGTTGGCAGTGAAGCAGTTAAGCATCAATCAGGCTGGCAGGGGAGTGCTTAGGGGGTGATCAGGCTGGCAGGCAGAAGAAGTTAGGGGCAATCAGGCAGGCAGGCAAGCAGTTGGGAGCCAGCAGTCCTGGATTGTAAGAGGGATGTCCGGCTGCCCATTTAGGCCTGATCCTATGGGCAGTCTGCATCCCTCGAGAGGTCCCAGATTGGAGATGGTGCAGGCTGGGTTGAGGGACAACCCTCCCACCTCCACCCCACCCCCACCCACTCCACCCCCGCACAAATTTTTTTGACTGGGCCTCTAGTAGTTGTATAAATGACATCAAGGTTACTAAATCCCAGCTCATGGCTGTCTTTTGAAACAGTATTTGATCCAGCAAAGAATGAGTCTACCAATGGAATTGGGGGAAATATCTTTGGAATTCACGACCTGATAATCACTTGGCATTTATTAAATACCAGAATATGAAAGATTATTAGGTGCCTGGGAGAAACCAGGAATATTTGTCATACATTTTACCCTCACAGAGGTTATACCCTAGAGGAAATGTGTCATACATGTAACGGAGATTAGTGATGTGATAGCATATTGTTAGCATATGACATATATTGAATGAAAAATAAAATCCTACTGTAGGAGTTCAAGGTAGCAAAAAGAATTTTCATAGACTGGTCAAGGAGACTTCATATAGGAATGGAACTTGAACAGATCTTCAGAATGGGAAAATTTGCATTGCTGCAATGAGAGAAGGATATTGAAGTATTGACTATATTACAGTATAGTCAAGGAAATATTTAAGTACAAAATTGATTTTTAATTTTCTAAGATTCTGATAAGCTTGTATCAGCCCTTAATAATCCTTGGTTAAGCTCACTGAAATCTATTACATAGGAGTTTTATGTAGTTCTTGACCAGATGACTAGTTACATTGTCTTTTCTGCCCTGTCTCATCCACTCTCCAACCTGGAAAGGATTCTTTTTGTTTAGGTCAGTTATGAGATGCTAAAAATTGGAGAATTTATCCTAATCATTGACTTTACCGGCTAAGTGACTAGGAAAATCACTTATTCTCTTTGGCTCTGTCATCTGTTTTTTGTGTGTGTTGTTGTTTTTTTAAGACAAAACTAGTGGATTTTAAACACATTTTAATTGAAATAGTAACATGGTGCAGAAAAGTATACAAGTAAAAAAAACCACAACACTATATATCATCAATGAATAGTTCAAATAATTTTTATATATAAACACACATATGATTAGTAGTTATTTTAACTTAAGAAAGAATATCAGCTGCCTGGTAAAAACAATTAAAATCTCAAATAGAAATGTGTTTAAATGAAGGGGCTTGGATACAGGACTCATGTTCTCTACTAAGACCCTGTGCGGTGATCTCAGGACATTTCTAGCTTTATGGCAATATGATTTTAAACACAGTAGCACTTGTAAGTGTTATAGGGATCTTTTATACATGCTGAAGGGGCTTTCCAGTTTTAAGATAACAGAGTAAAGATGTTTACGGTATATTCCTCTTGGATGTCACCCCAAAACAACTAGAAAAACAAAAACAGGAACATAACTTCTATGTTCAACTATCTAGGAGAGTCTGCTTGCAAACCTGAACTCTGAAATGTGTGAAGATAGAAGAGAAATGGAGAAATAACTGACCCAGTAAGGTAGACGAAATGAAACCAAAGAGGCAGCAGAGGGCTGTCAATGCCAAAGTAGTTTGCTCTGCAGACCTCTGAAGAAGCTTAGAAATTGGAGGCGGCGGTACCTGGGTCTGAAAAGAGGGGCTTGAGTTTCTTATAAGAAACAATTAGCCCTAAGTCTTAAGTAATAAAATTTCCAGAAACTAAAGGACATGATTCTATAGTTTGAAAAGAACTGAGTGTCCAATACAACTAATTTTTTTTAAAGAAAAAGGAAAAAAACCCACAATATTACTATGAAATTTCAGAATACTGAGTACAAAGAAAAGATTCTAGAAGTTTTCAGAAAAACAAAAAGGATAAATCTGATAAGGATTGGTTCCCGACTACAGAATAGCAGCATTAGAATCAACAGGGCAAGGGAACAGATCATCACAATTCTAAACGGAAAATTATTTCTAACTTTGAATTCTGTATGCACACATATTGCCAAACATGTAGACTAAAGATAGTTTTAGACTTGCAAATCTCAACCACTCTCTCTTAAATATTCCATGCACTATTTCACTGAATACTTCTGGAGAAGTTGCTTTAATTATATCAGAAAAAAAGTGAGAAAGGAGATATATAGTAGCAGAAACCAAAATTAGGAAGCCAGAGGATCTAGGAAGCTGGGACATCAATGAGTAAGTGGGAATTGAGTGATAAGTTTAACAATCTAAGTATGCATGTACCAAATAAAGTACATTTGTACTTTCTGCCCAAGGACAGTGAAGGCTGTGTATAGAGATGAAAAAATCTATAACTTCGCATGTATGTGTTTTTCTCTTTTCTTTTTCTTCTTTTAGCTAATAGACCAGTTAAAGCCTGGTGGAAGATTGATACTGCCTGTCGGTCCTGCTGGTGGAAATCAGATGCTGGAGCAGTACGACAAGCTGCAAGATGGCAGTGTGAAAATGAAGCCTCTGATGGGAGTGATCTACGTGCCTTTAACAGATAAAGAAAAGCAGTGGTCCAGGTGGAAGTGATTTTACCTTCTGCTCTTTCTTCTTCCACACATGCAAGGTGAAAGGGTGTGGATTTTAAGACATTAGCCTGCAAGAGCTGCTTTTTTGGTCATTCTATGCCGCCCCATTTTAACATCAGAAATTCACTACATTAAAAATGTAGAAAAGTGTTGCATGGTCTGCCCTTTTTTTGGTTAAATTCACATCTTTGGGGAAAGGTGGGTGAGACTTGGTTGGCACAAGGTGTTTTTTAAACGGCAGTTTAGTGCTGTCTAAGGACACTTCATCATCTGCCACTCTGTTTCTATATTTCCAAATCGTTTGTAAAGATGCTGTGTGGTCATGGAAGCAAACGCTTTGCTTTAAAGAGAAGGGGGGCCATCGTTTCCTGCCCCGTCCACTTTCTGGTGTGGCATTGTTGTAAAGGGAAAGAAGGGAAGAGAGATTCTTGTCCCAGTTTTCCAAGATGTCAGCTTTCCAGAGAGGACATTCATCCTCTCAGCTTGACTTCTCTTCCGGTCAGGTTCCTGATGTCGGGCAGCCTGTGCCTGCTTCATACTCAGCTGTTGTGTAAGAGCCACTGTAACAAGTAAACTTATTGCCGTTCTAAAGAACGGGCCAGCCAGTTTTTAACCTACTTCAAGTTCCTGGGGAAGGGAAGGGATTCTGTCAACGCAAAGTGGGTGCCCAGGTCTCACAACCCCCCCCCAAAGGGACAGCAGCATGCAGCAGCCTCCAGCACAGCATGGCTCATGACGACCCCATTTTGTTGTACCGCTCAGCGTAATCAGAGTATTTTGTTTGAAGCCAAGATTTCTTCTTCTCCCCTCTCCCTCCATGGGGAGGAGTGAGGTCAGAAAGTAAAAGTGACATTAGCTAAGACCACTTGGAATTAAATGCCAAAGTAAGAAAGGCTTTACAGTTTCCTTGTTTTAGAATCCATTTTTATTTGACAGATATTTATTTTAAGACCATTATTTTCTTAATGAGTAGCATGGTGATTTAAGTATAATAGATATCTTAATTTTGTTTTTGAATGAATGTTTAATTGCAAAAATGGTAATGAATGTAACTTAGTTTGTTCAAACTGAGTTTTACTTTTAACTAAATTCTGATTGGCCATTTCTGGGATTTCTTACTAGGAATTATATATTATTCTTCACCTAATGTAGTTATAAAGTTGTTTTCTTTGAATTCTAACCTGGAGCACAGCCACTTCTTAAAAACAAACTAAAAAGCTATCAGTCTTGTCAGTTATAATCAGATGTGGTATAACAATGAATTACAACCTTTCTTCACCTTTCTTTTAGTATAGTTATACCATTATATATTTGTATATTGTATAAAGGAGCAAATATATCATTGAAATTTGATATTAAATAAGAGTTCAGATTTTTATTTATGTTTAAAATCTTATAAAGAATAAATATTAGTATTGAGCATTCTATCTATAATTTAATGAAGGAAAGGGGTATTTTGTTTTTATAATCAGAAGTGTTTTTATTTTATTTTTTATTTTATTTTATTTTATTTTATTTTATTTTATTGATTTCATAGGAGAAAGAGAGAGAAACATTAATGATGAGAGAGAATCATTGATCATCTGCCTCTTACACACCCCACCCTGGGGATCAAGCCTGGAACCCGGGCATGTGCCTGACCGGGAATTGAACAGTGTCCTCCTAGATCTGTGAGCCACACTGGGCAGGCCAGAGGTGGAATTTTTTTGTTGTTAATCCTCACCTGAGCATATTTTTTCATTGGTTTTTAGAGAGAGTTGAAGGAAAGAGGAGAGACAGAGACTAACACCAAGAGTAATTTGTTTTATTGTGAAACATGTTTCAGTTTGAGGACCTTCTTAATATATTTATTTGTTTAGTATGTGTGTGCCCACTATGCCAGGCACTGGACTAGTTCAGGAATATACAGCTGTGACTTTGAAACTGACCATTCATAGTCATATGGGAGATTAAAAAAAAAATCAAAAGATAAGAAAAACAGGCAATTACTGGCATACCTTGTTGTATTGTGGTTTGCTCTGTTGCATTTTGCAGATACTGTTATTTTACCAATGAAAGGTTTGTTGGCAACCTTGGGTTGATCAATTCTGTCGGTGCCATTTTTCCAACAGCATTTAATCAATTGTGTCTCTGTGTTACATTTCAGTAATTCTTAAACTATTTCAGACTTTTTTTTTTATTGCTGTATTTGTGATGATCTGTGATTTTTTTTTTTTAATCTGTGGTTTTTGCTGTTGCTATTGTAATCGTTTGGGTTGCCACGAGCCACATCCATATAAGATGGTTAACTTAATTGTTAATTGTTGTTTGTGTTCTGACTGTTCCACCAACTGGCTGTTCTCTCTCTCCCCCTCTCCTGGAGCCAATTAATAATCCTACAATGGCCTCTAAGTATTCAAGTGAAAGGAAGAGTTGCATGTCTCTCACTTTAAATCGAAAGTTAGAAATGATTAAGCTTAATGAGGAAGGCATGTCAAAAGCTGAGACAGGCCGAAAGCTAGGTTTCTTGTACTAGCAGTTAGCCAAATTGTGAATGCAAAAGCAAAGTTCTTGAAGTAAATTTAAAGTGCTACTCAGGTAAAACGTGAATAATAAGAAAATGAAACAGCCTATTGCTGATATATCAGGAGAAAGTGTGTGCCCACTATGCCAGGCACTGGACTAGTTCAGGAATGGTCTGTACATAAAAGAACAAACCAGCCACAACATTCTCTTAAGCCAGAGCCGAATCTCTGGAAAGATTCTAAACCTTTTCAGCTCTCTGAAGGCTGAGAGAGGTGAGGAAGCTGCAGAAGTCTGAAGCTAGTAGATAATTGGTTTACGGTGTTTAAGGAAAGAAGGTCATCTCTAGATGCAGCAAAAGCTGATGTAGAAGCTGCAGCAAGTTATCCAGAAGCTCTCAGTGGGATAATTAATGAAGGTGGCTACATTAAACAATAGATTTTCCCCGGAGCCAGGTTGGGTCAGTGGTTAGAGGGGTTCAAGGCTTCTGTAGAGGAAGTAGCTCCCGATGTGGTGGAAATAGCGAGAGAACTAGAACTAGAAATGGAGCCTGAAGATGTGACTAAATTACTGCAATCTCATGGTAAAACTTTAAAGGGCTAGGAGTTACTTCTTGTGGATGAGCAAAGAAAATAGTTTCTTGAGATGGAATCTCCTCCTGGTGAAGAGGCTGGGAAGATTGATGGAATTACAACACAGGATTTAGAATATTACATAAACTTACTGATGAAGTAGTACAGGGTGAAGAGGATCCAATTTTGAAAGAAGTTCTGTGGGTAAAATTCTATCCAATGGCATCACATGATACAGAGAAATTGTTCGTGAAAGGAAGAATCAGGTGATTTGGCAAACTTCATTGTTCTTATTCTAAGAAGTTGCCACAGACACCCAGCCTTCAACAACCCACCAACCATGGCCAGTCAGAGCCATCAACATTGAGGCAAGATGCTACCTGCAAAAGGTCGTGACTCACTGATGGCTCAGTGAAGGTTCTCATTTATAAACAATAAGATATTTTTTCCAGGGGCCGGGGGAGAGAGGAAAAGTAGAGGGGGGAAGGAAAGACACTGGCATGATGAAATATTTAGCACATATATAGCCATTTTTAAGAGACTCTAGAAATTTAGGATATGCTACTTTTTATTATAAATAAGCTCTAGATGTAAGACAAAGAAAGATAAGATGATGTAGAATTTTGCCGAAACCGGTTTGGCTTAGTAGATAGAGCGTCGGCCTGCGGACCGAAAGGTCCCGGGTTCGATTCCGGGCATGTACCTTGGTTGCGGGCACATCCCCAGTAGGGGGCGTGCAAGAGGCAGCTGATCGATGACTCTCTCTCATCGATGTTTCTAACTCTCTACTCTGTATCTCTCTCTCCCTTCCTCTCTGTAAAAAATCAATAAAATATATATTTTTTTAAAAGATGTAGAATTTTGAACATTACAGAAAATTAATAACTTGAAAGTTATACAGATTTTGTAGTATTAGTTGTGACAAGGTTATACAATGATGGGTAAGAGTTTTTGGTTTTTCTTGGTGCAAAAAATGTTAAAAATCAGGTCTATAAACTTAATTTATTTTTTTCAATTTAGTGCTATACATTTCCTTCTGTTTGTTTTTAACAATACTGTTACTGACACCAAAGTAATGCATGTGCATATAAAAAGAGGAAAAAGTACAAAGAATAAAGTAAAATCACCCATAATCCCAGAACCCAGAGATAACCACTATAAATATTTTGGTAATTTTTTTTTACTCTTTTATCCATAACTATGTACATCTCTTGTATTCCTGAGTTCCATCAGCAGCATTATTTTGTAATCTTTTCATTTCATAAAATATCAACATTGTTGCCATCATTACAAATTGATTTACAGTATTTTTCTGGTTTTATTGCGAGTTTCAAGTGTACAGAATAATACTTTGATATATGCTTATATTCTAAAGTAATACCACAATGAGATTAGTTTTATAGTTTCAGGTCCTATATCCAAGTCTTTAATCCATTTTGAGTTTAATGTTTTTGTGTGCATAGTGTGAGTGAGACAGGGGTCCAATTTCATTATTTTTTATGTGGCTGTCCAGTTTTCCCAGCATCATTTATTGAAGATACTATTGTTTTTCCGCTGTGTATTTTTGATTTTTTAATTAATTGGCCATATATATGTGGGCTTGTTTCTGAGCTTTCTTTTCTGTTTCATTGATCTATGTCTTTATGCTAATACCTATTGTGATAACTATAGCTTTGTAATATAACTTAAAGTCAGGATGTGTTATGTCTTCACCATGTTCTTCTTTCTAATATTATTGCTTTGGGGTTTTGGGGGTTTTATACAAAGTTTAGGAGTGCTTGTTTTATTTTTGTGAAAAATGCTGTTGGAATTATGATGGGGATTGCATTGAATTAGTAGATTGCTTTGGATAGTATGGACATTTTAACCCAATTAATTCTTCCAATCTGTGAGCATAGAATATCTTTTCATTTATTTGGGTCTTCAATGTCTTATTAATATCTTACATTTTTTAGTGTATAAATCTTTTACTTCATTATTTAAATTTATTCCTGGATATTTTATTCTTTTTGATGCAATTGTAAATGGGATTGTTTTCTTAATTTCTCTTTCCGATAGTTCATTATTAGTGTATAGAAATACATCTAATTTTTGTATATTGATTTTGTGCCTTGCAATTTATTGAATTAGTATATTCAAACACTTTTTTGGTGGAGGCTTTAGGGTTTTCTATATATAATATGTCATCTGCAAAAAGAGACAGTTTTATTTCTTCTTTTCCGATTTTGATGCCTTTTATTTCTTTTTCTTGCCTAATTGCTCTGGCTAGGATTTCCAGTACTATGTTGAATAAAACTGGCAAGAGTGGGCATCCTTGTCTTGTTCCTGATCTTACAGGAAAAGCTTTCAGCTTTTCACCGTTGAGTATGATGTTAGCTGTGGGCTTGTCATATGTGGCCTTTATTATGTTGAGGTACGTTCCCTCTATACCCAGTTTGTTGAGAGTTTTTATCCTTTTTCTTTAAAAAAAATTTTTTTTCTAAATGGAGAGGATATTTGGAAATGTACTATGTTATTGGGCAATAAAGGTATTTATTTACAATATCCTTAATGCCTTGTAACAGGTGAATAAAATGTGGTTAATTATTTAAAAAACAACAGTGGAATCTTCAATTCATATATGAAAAGCACAAGTTAATTTAATTTATGAATTGAGCACTTTGCAAGTACTCATAATTTAATGCTTGCGTGATATTAAGTAAAAGCTATCCTATGAGAAATAAAGTACTTAAGTTATTTAGAAGACTATATTAAGTGGAACCAGACTGATGATTTATTGTTTAAAAGATAACCCAGTGCTATATGATAAAAGTAGCTTATGGGAGAAGTAATTTTTAAAATATTTTCTTGTACAATTTACAAAATTCAATTTAAAAAAAATATATTATCTGATAATTCCTTAATTCACCACTTACCTGGGAAATTTTAGCTCTTAATTTACCTTCCTTTTAAATTTATTTTAATACTTTAAAAAAAATCTTTCTATTACAGAACAGTTGTATAAATGGTGCAAAGAACTGAATCTCTTCATCCAGAGTTACCAATTATTAACATTTTTCCACGTTTGCTTTCTCACTCCTTCCCTCCCTATATACCCATATATGTAAATTATTTTTTTTTTTTTTCCTGAATCATTTGAGAGTATTGCAAACATCACATTTCTTTACTCCTGAAGTACTGTTTTGGTCACTTAGAATATCCTGAGAGATGAAGCTTTTAGACTTTTCAGGTAGCTTTATTTTTTCACTTTTAACAGCTTTATTAAGGTATAATTTACATACCGTACCATTTATTTTAGATTGCATTTTTGTTCCTTCCTTCCTCTCACTGGCAGTTGCTGGTACAGTGCTACACCTGGCTGAGCGAATGGTTTCTTTTGGAGCTGATAAAGCTGCCTTATGAAATCAGCTGACAGGTATATTATACCTACAGATGATGCTTTCCCCAAAAACGTTTGGGTTGATAATGACCCACTCAACAACTCCTAACAGATGTTTTAAGAAAAAGCTAAATTTTTGTCCAATTCTGTGACTGTAACTGTAAAAATTTACTTGAACTCAAATACTCATCATCATTTTACAATCAACAGTATTAGCAAGATCCTAGATCTAAAACTAACTTCTCTGAATTTTTGGTCTTGAAAGAAGGTTATCTTTAGGATTAAAAAGAAAAGAAATCAGGTACTTGAGGTTTCATTCTTCATTCTTAATTTGCATGAGAGATGTTTGAAATGGCTGATTTCCATTTTTTGCTTTGACGGGACCGTTTGCTCTTTTTATTTTAAATAATAAATTGCTTGGGGATCAGTGTATTTTTACTGATTTAATTGTTGTATCTGAACTATTATGAAGCCAAGTTTTGCAGAATGTAACTCCTACTTACACATTTCTCTCTTTTTCCCCCCCAGGGACGAACTGTAAAAGCAACATCAGCTTGACCAGTATATAATATTACAGTGGATTGCTCATCTCAATCCTCAAAGCTTTTGAAAACCACAGTATCACAGCTTGTTTTGGACTTTGTTTCACTTTTTTTTTCCAGCATGAAAATGTGTGGTTTTGTTAGGGTTTCTAGTTCTTCAAAGAGGCACAAAAGCCAATTTGGTAGAGAAAGGATGCAAAGTATGCATTTTACTTTTAAAATATTAAGCAAAGGCATTCTGCAAAATGGGAAAGTTAGCTTTTTAATTGATTTGGAAGAGTGGTTTTTCTTTTCTTAGACACTTAATTCTGTTCCAATATTTTTCAGATTGAGTTTGTGTATCAGATAACACCACCATTCACAAGTTAAACTTCTTTATTTTTGTGATGTCTGTGAGATGCTACTAAGAAAATAGAGATGAGCTTCCTGTTTAAAGCTTTTGATGTGGTGTCATAGAATAGCATGTTGTAGATACAATCAGCTGCTTTGGTACCTTAAAACTAAGCAATTGTAAATATTAACATTTAAGAAGGTGGAAAGTGATATTCCTTAACACTCAGATTGGACATAATTGACATAGTTCATTTCTCTTTAAAATTATATTAGACTTCCAGCTTAGTATTATTTTTTCTGTTTCTAACTTGCTGCTGATAATGTATATGAATTTAATGTGCTGTGTAAGCTGTGTCTTAGTTACTGAACAGTTTATGCAGTGCTGCTTTGCCAAATAAAGTTAAAAGTAAAGAGGCACTGGTGGTGTTTGAATGTATAAAGAACAGCATTTCCACCAGATACAGAATGCTGACTAAGATCACAGAAAAAAATTATTTCTCTGATGCTCCATTTTGTGAAATATGAATGGCATTAATTCAGCTGTACATTTGCAGAATGAATGTGACTGTTTCTTGAGAACAAGTACTACACCTCGCTTACTTTGCTTTGCTTCACACAGGGTTTGTCCTCTTGTAGATGTACAATAAATGCAGGATGAATGAGCAAATGAATTGACTGAATGTCAGGGAAGAAAGAGCTGTGTTTAGGATAAATTTACCAAAATCCATCTCTCACCTATAATGGCTTTAATATAATGACTATAAATGAATTTCAAAAAGTCAGGAGCACTTTGGGATCTTGTTTAATATTGTGGCTTTATACCTTTTATAGTGGGATCTTGGTTTTTTCGGGGTTTCAGAGCTCGAAGCAAGATGAGCACTAGAGCTAACAGAACTAGCACTCTCAGCAAAGCCCTTCGACTGCTGTGCCCAAATGCATGTGATTCTGACAAGTGGATGCTGAGCGAGGATGCAAGGCACCTCTCCCCCACCTCTTAACGTCCTAACCCTCTCTTCCTTAAAAATGGCTTTAAAAATTATGCACACATCTTTTCACTAGTGTCTCTTTAGGGGAAAGATCTCAGAACAGGACACTGGCATTAGTTGGTGGCCAAACCTTACCAGTTTCAGTTCTTTATTGGCTTCAATTTGCTGTTAGTACAGCTTCTGGACCTAGCCCATAAAGCCTCATTTGACTCAATGTCATTTGAGTTAGTTTCAAAGGTGAAGTCACGGAGAAAGATGAAAAAATTCTGTTATTTCCTAGGGAGAACATCCTATATAATAAAAAGGTAATGTGCAGCTGAAACCGGTTTGGCTCAGCGGTAGAGCGTCAGTCTGCGGACTGAAAGGTCCCAGGTTCGATTCCGGTCAAGGGCATGTACATTGGTTGCGGGCACATCCCCGGTAGGGGGTGTGCAAGAGGCAGCTGGTCGATGTTTCTCTCTCATCGACGTTTCTAGCTCTCTATCCCTCTCTCCTCCTCTCTGTAAAAAATCAATAAAAAATATATTTTAAAAAAAATTAAAAAATAAAAATAAAAAGGTAATGTGCAAATAAACTGAACAGCAGAACTGAACAATCAAAACATAATATGCTAATGATATGCTAAGGTTGCTCAACCACTTACTATAGCATGCATCGACCACCAGGGAGCAGGTGCTCCAACCAGTAGGTTAGCTTGCTGTTGGGGTCTGCCAATCGGGACTGAGCAAAATGGGCCACATGCCCTGGAGCCTCTCCCTGGCCTGATGGTGCACCAGTGGGGTCCCTCAGCCTGGCCTGCCCTCGCAATCTGGGATCATTCAGGGGATGTTGGAGAGCCAGTTTCAGCCCAATCCCGCAGGCCACTCCCTTGGGAGGGTGCCAGATGCAGGGCTCATGGCTGGTGAGAACTGCTGTGGCAGTGCGAGCCTCTCTGTATCGGGACTGATTGGGCACCAACCCAGAGCGGGCACAGTGGGGCCGGAATGAGCAAGAGCCTCAGGTAGGAGCTGCAGGTAGTATAGGACTGTGGGTTTTGGCCAGATCACTGCAGGCCACCTGGAAGAACCCCGCCTGTACACGATTTTGTGCACTGGGCCTCTAGTATCTGATATTTGAATGACTTGAAACATTAAAATGCTTGTGGAAAGATGGAGGGGTAACTATAGTCTACTTGCACTGAAGATGGAAAGAATTTCAAGTTTTCAGAAAGATTGTTTCAATGGGCCTTTTCTCAAGAAAAGAGAGAGTCCTGTTCAGTCCATCAGGCAGTGTATTTTGAAGATCTTGATTCTGCTTCTCTAATCCTTAATTCCCCTCTTTGTAAAATAGGGTAGGTATGGTTCAATCTAGGCCCAATGGTACAGCTCAAGAAATATTGGCAACTATGATTATATTAAAGAGTTGTTAAGGCTTAAGAATAAAGTATAATTTATTAACAGCCTATTGTACATGGGATATCTTTTCTCAAGTATTTCAACATCATAGCAATACTAAATTGTGTTTAATTTCTTCATGGATAAAAGATGTGGTGAAAGACATGCCTTGAAGTTTTATTTTATTGGGTATGGCTATAGGTGACATCCTTAGAAAGCAAAGGACACAGCATCCCATAGAGAGTACAAACAACTTAGGTTCACTCACAGTCATTTCTCTAACTTGTCATTTGAATTAGTTTCAAAGGTGAAGTCATGGAGAAAGATGAAAAAATTCTGTTATATAGGAGAACATCCTATATAATAAAAGGGTAACGTGCAAATAAACTGAACAGCAGAACTGAACAATCAAAACATAATATGCTAATTAAAATTAAATCTTTGCTCAATTCTAAACTCAATAAAATGCTTTTTCAGGAAATACAAAGAACCAATTTCCATGTTTGTTAATTTGTTAATGTATTCGGTTATATCTCCAACCCAAATTAAGCTCTTTGCTAAAAGAAACAACCTGTCTCGGGTTCATTCTGAAAACATGTCCTAAAATTTGAAAAGATTGGCCACTTACGATAAAAAACAACAAGAATACAAACACATATGTAAATAGGAACATCATGTGACTACAGACAGGTAACACACTATATTATTACTCTGAAGAATAATTTCTAGAAAATGTATAATTCTGGCATTAGGTGATGATGGGAATAATTTGCCTTTAAAATCCTCCCCCCCATAAAAAACCAACAAAACAAAAAGAAGAGATGCTAAACTAGATGCCAGTTTTCTATAAAATGAATTTGTGCAAAACTGCTTTATGCTCTGAGAATACATAGCCTGGCATTAGCTGAATGCACATTAAAACATTAAATAATGGGACTCATTCCAGTGGATGAAACAACAGGCTAATATGTAAAAGTGACATTTTTACCAAAGCAGCGCCCAGAAATCCACTCATTCTGCTTTTCAATTTAAATGCACTTTTCTCTCCCATCAATACAGGCTAATGTTGAGAACTGGTGACTATAAAAATGAGCTGTGGAGTTGGCGCAAGAAAGTACTAGTAGCCTCCTTGCTCACTTCACCATCAGTGAAGTTGGCTAAAATTTTTGACCTGCCAGGTTCTCTCCTTCCACCTGGATTTCCTGTATCGCTTCATGCCCGTGTTAGAGCTGCTTGTATTCCGTCTGAGTTTTCTCCCCCCAAAGGTCAGCCTAATAAGGCAGCCACCTCCATGACATAATGTCAGTCACTGGAGACATCTCACTTGAGATCCGTTCTCAGAAATAGGTTTTGCAGGGGAGAGAAGGGAGAGCTACGGGAGGGTAAGGTGAGCAATAGGAGGGCCACAGAACAAGGGGGAGCCGTGCACGAGGTGGCACAGGGTGGCCAGGGGCCCATGGCTTCTAAAAAGTACGGAGTTATTAGCACTGCCGTTCTAAGGCCACCTCTTGGATACTTAATTTTCTGTCTTGGCTAATTACACATTTCCATTTTCAAGAACAGCTTACATAAATCAGAATTAGATTGTACGTCTTTAACTGTTTGGACTCCTCTAAATTTCAAAATATTTCACCTACTTCCAAGGAAAATATTTCTACAATAAACAAGAACAAAGGTTTGGGGCTTGTAGAATCTTCTGGGTTTTCCATACCTTTCTTAGCCCAGTTAAAAAAAAAAAAAAAAAAAAAAAGGTTGTAAATATCTAAAACCCAGTATTCATATAAATTATAAGTGAAACGTCCCTGCCCCAGCTGTTTAAGTTACACTTAGAGATACATCCCATTGATGAGGTAGTCAGACTCCTCAGATGTAATGGGTCGAGCTTTCTTCAGTTTCTGCTTGAGCAGGCGTAGTCGGCAAGCAACCATGAGAAGCAGCAACGCAGTGATGGCCAAGCCCAGTGTCAGCGGCAGCACAGCACCTGGAAACAGTGGAAGTAAAGAGGGTGGGCCAGTGTTTTTATTGATTTTTAAAGAGGAGAGGGAGAGAAACATCAATGAGAGAGAAACGAATTGGCTGCCTCCTGCACACTTCCTACGGGGGATCAAGTGTGGGCATATGTCCTGATTGGGAATTGAACCAGTGACTTCTTGATACATGGGACAATGCTTAACCACTGAGCCACACTGGCCCAGCAGCCTGGCGGTGGTTCATGACTAAATAAGCACTTCATATGTGCTATTTCATTTAATCTGAAGAATTAAAATAGACAGATACCTGTATTGCCAGCATTTTGCAGTTTAACTGAGGTGCCAAAAGATTAATTGACCTAAGAGCATATGGCTTTTACATGGCAGGTGGAGGTCTCAAACCCAGATTTCTTTATACCCAAATGTTCTACCAGGTTCCTACAGAATTTGATGGCATTAGTGGGTACAAATGTTGCAGACAGATCAGCCTCATTGCCCACTGTAATAGACACCCTGTCAGCAGGCAAGTGTAAACACTGTGACAACAGGAACCTGACATTTATGGATTCACACATGGTCATTCCCTCTGAAAATAAGTATGGACCACTGATTTCTGGTTAGGACTTTAAATTTTTATTTTATTTGTCTAAATCCAGGGAACCTAGTTTCAGCCAGCAGAACCATGGTTGAGAATTAACTTCAAAATATGCTGGTGTAATTCTGGCTAACTGGAAGGGAACAGGGTTTTCCTGGGGGGTTGTCCTGCACACCCAGACTAGAGGCAGCCTTTAGAGGCTTGCACGAGTCTGGGAGGAACAGGGTGTGCCCTGGGTCAGTCTTTCTTTAAAAAAAAAGACTGATAAATGTAATACGTTACACTTGATAAATTTAAGGCATAGAGCCTGTTACTTGGATACATTTATACATTGTTTTTTAAAACTTGTATTTTATTGATTTCAGAGAGGAAGGGCATGGGGGAGAGAGTTGGAAACATCCATGATGAGAGAGAATCATTGATCGGCTGCTTCCTGCACGCCTCCTACTGGGGATCAAGCCCACAACCCGGGCTTGTGCCATGACTAGGAATTGAACCGGGACCTCCTGGTTCACAGATCCACACTCAACCACTGAGCCATGCCAGCTGGGTGATACACTTATATTTTGTTATTTAATTGCATTGAAGCAATATTTTTATCAATTACATCATGAAAGTACAATATTACTGTCTATATTCATTATACCATGCATTAGCTATTTATGGCTTATTTACTAAGTGAGATAAGACTTACTATATATCACATGTGGAATTTTAAAAAGTCAAACATAAAAAAGCAGATCAGTCTTGTCAAGCGCAGGAGGCCTTATTTTTAGTCTGACCTACTTCCTAGTCAGCCCAGTCTTACAGATGAGATGGTGGAGTTATTTTTAGCTGCAAGGGTCTTGCCAACTGCTGGAGCCAGAGGAGCAGAATCTCCATTGTATACGCCTATTCTATAGCCTTCCATTTATTCCTTCTTTCTGCATTAACAGCCAGGTGCCTACCTCTGAGCTAAGTGCTGCTCATCAAAGATAATACACTGATGCTGACGAGCGCCAGTTCTCAGTGCTTTCTTGCTTCACTCATTTAATTTTCACAGCCACCACAAGAGTTGGTGGAATTCTTATCCCCATTTTACAAATGAGGGAACCAAGGCACGGAGAATTAAGTGACTCGTCTAAGGCTGTATGTAAGTGGTGAGGCTAGGACGCTGCAGCCCCAGACAGTGCAGCTCCAGGACCACTGGGGTCCAGGACTGCTCCAAAAGGTAAAGAAGTCAGTGACCTCAAGTCTGGGAGACAGACATTTAGGTGAAGAAGTGCAGATGTGAGAGGAGTGGTCCATGCATCTAGCTCACTGGACCTTTGCTGGAGTGACCTGGCTGTATGAAGGATTTTTTTGGGTGAGCAAGGGAGATGTTTATATTTGACATTTCCAAATCGAGATTCCTAGAGGTTTTCTAGTAGATTTATGGGTTATTCGGGCCCAAATATGTGGGAGCCTTTAGCATCAAGGTGGTGGTTGCAGCCACAAAAGTGGATGAGATTGCCAGAGAGAAAGGAAGGAAGGGAGGTTGGGAATAAGGCCCGGAGAAACACCGCCATTTAAGGGGGCAGACAAAAGGAGAGAGCGGGAAAGAAGAGGAAAAGACGGGTCAGAGCAATGGCAGGGCAACCCAGAGAGAAGGGTGTCTTCGAAGCAGAAGGAAGAGACTGTGTCAGAGAAAAGTGCTCAGCTGCATAGGGGCTAAGGAGAGGTCTGGGGAGAAGCCTCGGGAGGCCACTGGGCTTAGCGGTCAGAAACCCAGGGACGCCACTGTACTGGGAGAGATCGGAGTGTGGCTGCAGCTGTTGGGAATGAGCCCATGAAGAAACAGATTAAAAACAGGTTGCCATAGCTCAGTGGTCGGCAAACTCATTAGGCAACAGAGACAAATATCAACAGTACGACTGACATTTCTTTTGAGAGCCATATTTTTTAAACTTAAACTTCTAAGGCCACTTCTTTAAAATAGACTCGCCCAGGCCGTGGTATTTGTGGAAGAGCCACACTCAAGGGGCCAAAGAGCCACATGTGGCTCGAGAGCTGCAGTTTGCCAACCACAGTCCTAACCACTTCACTATATGAAAGGTAATGGATCAGATTCTTTGAAAGAGAGCAAAATAAGCACATGGTATCACCCTTGTGCACCTCATATTCTAGGCCAGTGGTCGGCAAACTCATTAGTCAACAACCAAATACCAACAGTACAACATGGAAATTTCTTTCTTTCTTTTTTTTTAATATATTTTATTGATTTTTTTTTTTTTTACAGAGAGGAAGGGATAGGGATAGAGAGCCAGAAACATCAATGAGAGAGAGACATCGATCAGCTGCCTCCTGAACACCCCACCCTGGGGATGTGCCCGCAGCCAATGTACATGCCCTTGACCGGAATCGAACCTGGGACCTTTCAGTCCACAGACCGACGCTCTATCCACTGAGCCAACCCAGTTTAGGCTGAAATTTCTTTTGAGAGCCAAATTTTTAAAACGTAAACTACTTCTAACGCCACTTCTTCAAAATAGACTCACCCAAGCCGTGGTATTTTGTGGAAGAGCCACGCTCAAGGGGCCAAAGAGCCGCATACCGACCACAGTACTAGAGGAAAGGAAGAGATGTGGGGGCAAACAGACAAGAACTTACAATAGGCGGGAGCTGAGGAAGTTCACTCCTGAGAGCTTTGAATTTTCCAGGCTTAAAACTGGCTCCAGATATAATAGAATGATTTCCTCTCCATGACAAGAGGACCTGAAGCCGAGTACATACTAATGGCGTTTCAGTTCCTGGTATATCTGTAGAATCCCACTGGGGAAGGTTTTGCCTGGAAGTGTCTGGGCACAGGAGGAGGGGATGTGGGCGTTGTGGTGGTGACTGTGGGTACCAAACAAAGGCTGGTATTCCGCAGAGAATTGTGGAAGATAAAAACCTGTGATAAGCCAATGGCCTAGCATCGCCTCTAGAGCTGGCTCATACGTTCCTCACACAGCAGCCCCTCCGCAGGACTCCATAATCAGGGCTCCGTAATCACGGCAGAGTTTCTCCACGTAACAGCTGAGCTTTGGCTGCTAGTTTTCCTAATGGCCACCCTGAAGAAAGCAGTTCTGAAATGGCCAAGGGCCATGAAGGTATCGGTTCCCCCTGCGCCTTCCAGGACCAGCCACTAGGTTAGAAATGGTACAAAGGAGAGACGGGTCAACCTGTGGTTCAGGGCAGGAAAATGATGAAAGGCTGCCCTTCCTTAAGAATGAGCACCGTGCCGAAACCGGTTTGGCTCAGTGGATAGAGCATCAGCCTGCAGCATGAAAGGTCCCAGGTTCGATTCCGGTCAAGGGCATGAGCCTTGGTTGCGGGCACATCCCCAGTAGGGGGTGTGCAAGAGGCAGCTGATCGATGATTCTCTCTCGTCAATGTTTCTAACTCTCCCCCTCTCTTCCTCTCTGTAAAAAAATCAATAAAAATACTTAAAAAAGAAAAAAAGAAAAGAAAAAAAGAATGAGCACCAGTGTTGAGGCTACAGGGAACAATAAAACACGTACAATCTAGGGGAATTTTCTACTGGCTCAGTCAGACAAGAGGCTGCGCTGCACTGACAAATCGGACTCCTGCTTACTGTTTTGAGGACAAGGAAAATGAAATCTCCCAGAAAGTGCTTGCTAGAAGACAGAAAATTCTTCTGGGCTTTTAAGTACTTTTTCAATGTTTTTAGTTTGGGTTCTTTGAGATTTAAAACTGTCTAACCCCTTTGAACTCACATCATGATATTTTTCTCAGAAACCAGCTAAGGGGGTGAATTGGGTACTCTGTTCATATGACCGGGAGTGGCTCTTTTTAGTCACATATCTGGGAGTCAGCAGGGCTGCAGACTGGGCAGCATCCATGTGTTTGACATCTGGAACTTGTTGGCCATCCATTGTTTAAAAATTATACTTTAGTGTGGAGAGCGGCTACAGTGTTTGGACAGGTTCAAGCCTGGGACTAATGAGAGGGCACGATCTTCTTCTGGCAAAGCCACGTGTAAGTCCCAGCACAATTACAGCCAGAAGCTATAGCTGTAAGCTTGACTTTATGGTCCAAACCTGTGGCCCCACGTGGCTGAGTGATATGGGCTGCGGGAGGTGCAGCAAGTAAACAAAGTTTGATCAGGTGCATGTAACTGAGTAGATTCAAAACCCGCGATAATGTTGTAAGCACACCCTTACTTTGCCTCGTGGGAACTGGCTATAAAACAGAGACTCGCCTTGCAGGCCACAGCGCTATCTCTCCATCAGAATGGGCAGTGTCCCACTCAGATCCAGCTTTATTTTCTTGTCTGTCTTTTCTAAATCCTTCACTGCCCCCCACTCGGCTTCACCCATGGCCGTGCTGACTCGGCACACTTTTATATTGCCCAAATATTACAAAAGATACTCTTAAGGTAAAAAAAAAGTTTTCTCAACTTAGATCTATAACTTAAGAATCATCAGTGATTCTCATCATTGATGTTTCTCTCTCTCTTCCTTCCTCTCTGAATTTAACAAAGAAATATATTTTTAACTGGTTTGGCTCAGTGTATAGAGCATTGGCCTGCGGCCTGAAGGGTCCCAGGTTCGATTCCGGTCAAGGACTTGTGCCTTGGTTGGGGGTACATCCCCAGTGGGGGCTGTGCAGGAGGCAGCTGATCAATGTTTCTTTCTCATTGATGTTTTTAACTCTCTATTCCTCTCCCTTCCTCTCTGTAAAAAAATCAAAAATAAAAACCACCTTTTCCCCCTAAATTTTCACTAATTAGTTTGGGGATTTAGGACTATCGCCTGAGTTCCTACAGGACTATGTAGGAAGTGTTTTCCTTCTAGTTAAAAACAACCAAAATTATGGAATGATGAGATTTTTCTTCCATTTACTAAATACTCCCTCTACTTCCTACAGTTTCCTGTTCCTATTGGTTTCTGTCTTTGTCAAAACACTCGGAGAACTGGGCACTCTTAAGACCTTTACTCCTGTATCACAAATAACTCGGTAATAATAACCATCATTGTATGAGCCGAGCACTGTGCTAAGTGCTTTGTATTTACTGTCCCATGTATTCTCCCTAACAACTCCGAGCAAGTATAGTTATTAGCTCCATCTTACACATGAGGAAACTGAGATCCAGAGAAAGAAAACCTGCCCAACGTCATACAGTTCAGTGGTGGAGAAAGATCCGAGCCTGGCATGTTGTTCTTAACCATATGCCACAAATATTACTCTTTTCACAGAAAGTTACACCTGAAAGGGACTATGGTGATTATCTAGTCCAAACAACTTATAAAAGAGGAAGCTGAGGTTCAAAGGTGTGAGGTGACTAGTGTTAAGTGCCCGAAGGTGAAGCTTGATATAGGAGATGATGAGAAATCAGTTCTGATCCACAGACCACTGCTCTTGTCATGAGCTGTTAAACGTTTTCTTCTGGTATCCTCAACTAGAGGGTATTATGATTCTGCAAATCTTTATGCTCTAGCCGGTTTGGCTCAGTGAATAGAGCATCGGCTTGCAGGATGAAAGGTCCTGAGTTTGATTCCAGTCAAGGGCATATGCTTGGATTGCGGGCACGATCCTAGTAGGCAACGTGCAGGAGGCAGCCGATCAGTGATTCTCTCTCATTAATGTTTCTTTCTCTCCCTCTCCCTTCCTCTCTGAAATCAATAAAAATAATAAATAAAAAACTTAGTGAAGAATATAAAAAAAATCTTTATACTCTGCAATGAATTTTCAAGATATATATTTACCTATTTCTGGGGCTGGGTGTTCACCTCCTCCTCGATTGCTCTTTGACTCAAAAATATAATTCTCTTCTTTTTTGTTCTCTTCCGAGGAATCAGTATCTGTGGAAAATAAGTAGAACATGCATTGAGGGTACATCAGAAACTTTAGAAAAAAAGACATGAATATACAGCATCCATTTCTCAAATAAGCATAGGCCTATGCTTATCACCAGTACACTGGATAAGTAATGTGACCGAGTTAATACAGCAGAATGTGTGGCTAGTACAAATCCACTGGACAGAGGGAGGGAAACAAGCATATTGTGCCAGGACTCCCACCTCCTCCTCAGAAGGAAGGAAGGAAGGGACTCGGCCGGAGGAGTCAAGGGTAGTCTCTGAACTTCATAGAATGGAAAGTGTAAGCAGTCCCAGAAGGCCTTTCTTCATTAAAAAAGGCACATGGACACGCTATTTCACTTTCTCACCTGACCCTAAGTATGCTATTAAAAGGAGATATTAAGATAAAATTTTAGAATTTCTATCCCACGTTCTCTTAATGAGCAATGGCCGGCCCATTCTATCATTTCTTCTCTAGTAATTTATAGCATTTGTGTGCTTGCTACATTGACAATATAATAGTTGAGTTAGTAACGTTACCCTCACGCTGTGATTTCAAGTGCAATTTTTGGGAAATGTAAGGCTTAATGTCTATGAATTAGAAATGATCAGCTAACATGAGACATGTTACGGGAAAACAAACACTTTAAAGCTTCCTTACTCATAGGGCATCAACAGAAATGTTCAGGACACCTGCAACTGAAACAAGACTATGTAAAGGGACTATATGCATTTGTTTGACAATTTGTATTAAGAAATATACGTAAACTTACCAAGGACCATAAGTCTTCTGGATAGTGGGAAAATAAAGTTAATCTCACCAAAAGTGTATGAGACTTGCTTCTCTGTACTCGTTTAAGCAGTAATTATTACTTTCCCACCTCTGCCAATGTGACAGATGAGAGACTGCCTCTCCTACTTCCTGTACTATCGATACATTACCAGCGTTAACCTTGGTATTGCTTCAGCATGTGTAAAATGAGTTAATTTTTTTTATTCTCAAAACGTGTGTGGGGGAAGGAGGCAGCAGAACATTTAACCTGTTCTTATTTCTTGCACGAGCTGTTGATTCTTGTAAGGTAGGCATAGGTCATGAACAGCAATGTGTTTTTAAATCTATGTCATGCTGAATAGAACATCATTTCAACTCACATAAAATTGGAAGCTGGGGAGAGGGCTGCTGTCTAAACCAACGCCACGGGCTGTGAGGGCCTCTCTGACCCTTTCAGAGTTCCACTCTTCCCATTCCTTTGACCCTGGATTTTCAAACGTTTTTTATGGATAGTAACACATAAAAATGCTCATAAGTGAGAAAAGTAAGTTTTGTAAAAATAATATCCTAATTTTGTTAAAAGTAAATAAATGTGCGTGCATATGTGTATAAATAGAAGTAACCAGCCCTGACCGGTTTGGCTCAGTGGACTGAAGGGTCCCAGGTTCGATTCCTGTCAAGGGCATGTAACTTGGTTGCTGGTGCATCCCCAGTCGGGGGTGTGCAGGAGGCAGCTGATCGATGTTTTGCTCTCATCGATGTTTCTAACTCTATCCTTCTCCCTTCCTCTCTGTAAAAAATCAATAATATATCGCTTCTCGGCCTTTTGGCTAAAATCAAGTGTAAAAATAATATACATTTTCTTCTGGTTACTTTTTTTTTTTTTTTTTAATATAACAGTGTTAACAGTGAGCTTTGCTAGATGATTTAAATTTTTTTTCTGTATTCTCCAAATTTTCTACTATAAACCTGGGACCTTTCAGTCCACAGGCCAATTAGGAAAAAACAACATATATTATAAATAACTAAATATCTAATCTCTCTTCATCTCTGAAACTCATTCCTTACATCTTCATAGCCCAAGTCAAAGGCTTTCATGAAACTTCATGAAACAGAGATTGCAAATATATCTCAGACTGGGTGGCAACTCCCGCCTGCTGATGGTGGCAACCAGAAGCGTTATTTTCAAAATGGTTCTGAGGCTGAGTCCTCACCCCCCAGAAGGGGCTGGGAAGAGAGTAAGCCAGGAAATTCCTTGGCAGGTGGAATGAGGGGAACGAGATAAGTAGTTAAACAAGGCCAAGCAATTAGCAGCCTGCTAATAAATCTCAAGTTCTTATCTTCCCCAACCAAGAACAATTAGGAGCAGATGGTTTACACCTCTCCTTCCCAGCCAGAAGGCAGGTAGCTTAAGTCACCTGGTCCCGGAGATAGATAACAGAGGCCCAGGGGCCATTGGTGCCAGCCAGACCTCAGAACGGATGCAGTCAAGGGAACAAAGTAACAACAACCAAAAAAGTAGAGCCAGACAAACCCGAGATAAAAGTAAAGAAAGCAGTGAAGCTGACCAGAGAATGATCCCAACTCCCTTATACACTCATCTTGATGCATTTGCATTGTGGTCGGCTCTTTGGCCCCTTGAGTGTGGCTCTTCCACAAAATACCACGGCCTGGGCAAGTGAAGAAGTGGCATTAGAAGAAGTTTAAGTTTAAAAAATTTGGCTTTCAAAAGAAATTTCAATCGTTGTACTGTTGATATTTGGCTATGTTGACTCATGAGTTTGCTGAGGACTGCATTAGCATATTAAAGGACACACCTGGAAAACTGTTGAATAGTCTGTTGAGACCCTCCCCTGAGACCTATCCTAAAACTCCTGCCTTTACTTTTTTACTACTGTTTTTTTTAATAGGATTTTATTGATTTTAGAGAGAGAGGAAGGGAGAGGGAGGTGAGATAGAGAAACATCAATTATGAGAAAGATTGATTGCCGCCTCCTACATGCCTCTACTGGGGATTGAGCCTGAAACTCAGGCATGTGCCCTGACCAAGAATTGAACCGTGACCTGCTGGTTCATGGGTTGATGCTCACTCAACCACTGAGTCACACCAGCCAAGCTAAAACTCCTGCCTTTAGACAACAGATTAAAAACCCTAAGACCAAGGACCCAGTGTGTGCTCCCTCTTAGCACGCCATGCCACCCTTTCCTCAGGCATGTACTTGTGCTTGCTTTCTCCTAAGCTCTAAGGGTCCCCAGTGACAGGATCACCGAGCAGAATCTAGCACAGATCAGGGCCGGCGAAGTGCTGTATGAGCGTCAGGCTACTTAACAGCCCTGAAACAGGCTCTCGGTGCTGGAAGCGGCCTGGGGCATCTGATTTAAACCCGTTATTAACTGACACTGACAAGGAACTGCTTTCACGCGGGCCTCTTTAACTCAGGAACGTAGCAAGAGTTCCTCTGCCTTGGTCTCTGAAAACTCATTTCTCTCCGTCAGCTCTTCATGCCTCCTGCCAAAAACACTTGGCTTCCCCTGACTGTTTCTTAGGTGGCTGTCTCCTCCATGTAGAAAAATCAACTAAAAATTCCAAGGCAGGGCTGAAGTGACTGATTTGCCCAGTAGGTGGCAGTATTAACAAGGAATAAGGAATTGACCAGGCCTCAGAAGGGCAGATAAGCTAACGTGTAAGAGAAAAATGCCCTGCCAGCATGGCTCATTGGCTGAGTGTAGACCTATGAACCAGGAGATCATGGTTCAATTCCCCATCAGGGCACATACCCAAATCAATGATTCTGTCTCTCTCTCTCTTTTTCATTCCTCTCTGAAATCAATAAAAATGTATTTAAAAAGAAAAAGCAAGGTCCCCTGTGGAATTTTTGCAAACATATTTGTATGGAAGCACTTAAAATCCACAAAGTACATGAACAAAATGTTGAAAGCAAATATACCAAAACATTAAAATTTGTTTTCAATAAAGGCTGATATTTAAAGTCATTTCCTTTTTTCTTATTTGCATCTTCTGTACCTACTGCAATGAACAAAAAATTGTCACAAAGAAGTTATTAAACTAGTGATAGATTATTTCAGTTTAATGTATGCAGAGTTTGCGTATGGAAAAGCATAAATGTGACTGTCTATATTTCTTATATCATACAATGGTACACATATAAATGAGTAAAAATTAACTTAAAATGATGAAATCCGTTAATGCTTCAACAGTTCCTCTGCCTTGGTCTCTGAAAACTCATTTCTCTCCGTCAGCTCTTCATGCCTCCTTAAAAATCTTATTAGCCTTATTTTAAAAATTAAAAGTTACAGATTTAGTTAGATTGGAGGCATAACACTGAATCACCAGCACATGCAACCATTTCAAAATGACATATTTCCTTCACTTTCACTTGCTTAGTGTGAAGAGGATTTACGTGAATATATAGGGATTATACTGCTTCATCTCAAAATAACCTAAAATTTAACACTCAGGGCATTCGCTGCCTGAATATAGGTGTTTCTATCTCTAACTTATTTACAAATAAAAGTATTGATTATTGATACCCCTAGAGTATGTATCCAGGTATGAATGTAGGGTCATATTTAGTAGGTGTTTTTTACTATTTTCTAACTAATAAAAGTGTAACATGCTAATTGACCTTACCTTCACAACACCCACCAGGCAATCAGGAGTATGCAAATTAACCTAACAAAAATGGTGGGTTAATTTGCATATGCATGTGCTGAGCAACCAGGGGCATTCCACACTACCCTAGCCTCTGAGCAGCATGGGAAGACAGAAAGGAGGCTCCGGCTCCGAGCCAGAGTGGAAAGGCAGTTCTGGGCCAGAGCAGAAAGGTGGCTCTGAGCTGGAGCAAAGGCCATGATGGCAGCCAAGGGAAGGAAAGTCTGTTCTTTTTTTATTTTATTTTTTAAATATATTTTATTGATTTTTTTACAAAGAGGAAGGGAGAAGTAGAGAGTATGAACCATTGATGAGAGAGAAACATAGATCAGCTGCCTCCTGTACACTCCCTATTAAGTATATGCCTGCAACCAAGGACCCTTGAGTCCACATGCCAACGTTCTATCCACTGAGCCAAACCGGTTAGGGCAGGAAGGCCCGTTCTTGGACAAATCTTCATGCATTGGGCCTCTAGTAAAAAAAAAAAATCAGTGCAAATGGGAGGCTTTATTTTTTTCTTTTGGCCAAAGTATTCATTGTAATGCTTCTTCTTTCTGTTAAGATAGTTCCTCATCACTCTCCAAATATAACCTTAATTTTGAGCCAGGTGTCCTTACAGAAATCAAAGCTCTTCGTGGAGAACCTGTCTCGAGCCCTTACCTGGCATCCCAGGGCCAGTTTGAATCTTTGGTGCCCAGGAGGCAGAATGGTTCCTCTCGGTGTCTGGGAGTGCAGGCGGCCGGTGTGGGGCTGTCTGAGGCTTCTCCGGGGCGCGTCCTTCTGCATCTTTGCTCGTTGCGATGGTCCTAGGCTGGGAAGTCGCCGTGTGAGTCTCCGTCTTCCGGTCGAGGCTCACTGAAGTGTGCAAGAGCTAGTTAGTTGTTTATTGGGCTTCTTTTCTGAGCTTTAACTAAAACCACTACATCTGCAGTAGATGTGACGTCATGGGTATTTGGGAATAATAACATACCCAGTTAAGACACGTCAGAGTCTCATAAAAACCTCTCTATCGTTTTCAAATGAGTGATCTCTCAAGTAATTACCTTTCTGTCACGTGTAAATTGACAAAGAGAAAACTTGTAAACCTTGTGAGATTCCCCATCCTTCCTCAGACCAACACTTCATTGATTTTCTGCAGCTTTTCTTCTTTCCTACGGTTCATGCGTATGCATACGACAGGAGACTGCTCTGCAGATGATTAGCCAAACCGCAGTCTGTCATGCATTTTCTAAAAACTTTATCCAAACAAGATGTTAACTCACTTCCGTTTTTTTTAAAAAGCGTCTAGTATAGAGCATTTTTCCCAATGGCGAAGCATCTTTCAGAAAAGTGCAAACAATTTCTGAAAAACTGTAAGCAATATAGACTAGTTGACCTTTGTAACTAGCATTAGAGACTCAATCAACGCTGCTTTGGTTACAGCAAAGCCTATTCATCAAGTTACATCTGAAGCCGGCGGAAAAAGAATGACATTGACTAACATGGTATCATGGGAATTCAGGCATCCCTTCTGCCCCAGCAGGCCATGCGGCCAACTCACAATTTTGACAGAAAGCTTCATCCGATCCGTCAGGACACTGCTCGGCTCCATCGCAAGCCAGTGTGATGTCAATGCAACAGCCGTCGTCACAGAAGAAGTGGTGGCGTGAGCAAACCTTCGAGCATCCTGTTCACAGACAAGACTCCAGTCACGGGACTGCAGGAGAGCGGCGTCCCCCTCAGGATGAACTGGGACTCGGCGTGCGATGAAATGCACGTGGGTGAAGAGATACAGCTAAGGAAGCACCCAACACTCGGAGCTGGAGCAAGAGGCCCTGGCTTAGCTCTCGGGCTTCACTTTGGGGCTGTTCTCACGAGGTGGGAGGAGAGAGGAAGCAGATCTGGTCCTCCCCATCCTGACCTGGGCCTCCTCCCTTGCGCCTTGCACTGCGTTAGTTCCTTCATCCCATCATCTTGTCGGTCAGGTGCACCCTGCATGGCACGTGGGCGGCTGACCGTTGTGTTCCATACACCATTTTACACCTGCTATGTTTTCCATTCTCGCTTTCCAAGCAGTGACTTTTGCCAAGATTAACTTGTTACTACAGAACCCTATTTGTTGACTACCGTACCTCCTCGGTAAAGAATAAACAGAATCTTGCCGAAACCGGTTTGGCGCAGTAGATAAGAGCGTCTGTCTGCAGACTGAAAGGTCCCAGGTTTGATTCCGGTCAAGGGCATGTACATTGGTTGCGGGCACAGCCCTGGTGACGGGTGTGCAGGAGGCAGCTGGTCAGTTTCTCTCTCATCGGTTTCTAGCTCTCTATCCCTCTCCCTTCCTCTCTGTAAAAAATCAATAAAATATATATATTTAAAAAAAGAATAAACAGAATCTTAACATACTGGCTGGTATGAATTTATTCTCTCTAAATAATAAAATTCTCTCCTTTTTGGAGCCCCCAAGAGTTTTGAATCCGCAGTCTATTCATAGGAGCCACAGTGTATTTCCCTAAAAGGCATTTCCCCGCTCTGGAGTAAGCCCACTCTACAGGACTCAGCTACACAACCCCTGGGGGGGGGGGGGCTCCCTGATGCTGGGAACGCAGACAAAAGATTTCAGGCTAGAAGCCTGCAACCAAAGGACGACCCCTTGACCAAATTTGAACCCAGGACCCTTCAGTCAGAGGGCTGATGCTCTATCTACTGAGCCAAATCAGCTAGGGCTGAGCTGTCTTCAATGTACTTTGCTGCGCGCTTGAACGTACACATCAGACAGACCACACACTTTTACACAGATCCTCTCCTGGAAAAGCCTGGTGATTGCCTTTTATGACATCTGGTAAGAATGGTGGAGCTGGTCCGGGTCCCAGGCTCTCCCAGTCTATTCCCAGCTCAGTCCAGCGGTGTTGCTGGCCCGAAGCATAAAGGAGCAGCTACTTTTGGGATCACATTTTTAGTAGAGATTCTCTCGGTCAACTACACCCCAAAAATAAAACGGAAGACCCGCGGAACGCGTAGCTAGAATCTGAAATGCCCTCGGGTCCCACCCTCTGTACGGGGTCTGGTTCCTTTGGCCTCGGTGAAGTCCAGCGAAAAACTTGCCTCTCACCTCGCGTGGAGAAGGCCGGCGGCAGCACGGTCACCGAGACGTTGTCAGCACTCCTCTGCCCCGCCGTGTCCGTCACGGTGAGCTGAAAGGTGTACCTTCCTTCCTGTAGGTGGGACAGCCTCAGTGTCCCTGACTGAGGCACCTACACCCAAACAGGAGGCATCACACTTGGTTAGGAGACGGGAGGGGGAGTCCCGCGTCGTCCTGAACTGGAAAGCTGGGTCCTCCTCCTAGCAGCCCCACGACCTGCCTCTCCCTTCCCCGTCCAAGGCTGCGGACTACCAAGTCTTACCCCGTTCTGGCACGTCGGCCCTGCTTTGAATTCCCAATTCCCAGTGCTATCTGTACTGACAATACCCTTGATGGACAACCCTTCGCTTGTCCCCACAGCCACTGCTCCAGACCTGCACCTCTTCCCAGCCCCACCCCCAGCAGCCAGTCCCTCGTTCTCAGCAGGAGACCCCTCTACTTCCAGAAGAAAATGAGGACCCCAAGTATGGTTACAGTCCTGACTCCTCCACTCACTGCCACGGTACCGTGCCTGTACCATCATCGTCTCCTTTCTTACGTCATTCGGTGACCTGTCTCCGTCCCACACTCCGCCCTCCATCTAGTCCCTGACCCCCTTTCCTTCCGAGACCTCACTGCTATTGCGAGGCTCAAGTTTGTTAGTGACCTAACAAACAATGAGAAATGAAAACTCCCCAGGTCTTCTCTAGCCACAGGGTTATTTCCTTTTCACTTCAACTTCTTCAAAAGGGCTGTCCATGCTGCACACACTAGAGACAATGTAGAGACAATGTCTGGGCCACAGGAGCTGACATCTGTGTCCCATTTGCTCATTTCCCATTGATTGTTTGTCCCACCCAGCTGGCTTCTTTCTCCACCATTCCCCAGGCACTGTGCTGGGAAAACTCGCTAACTAACCTTGTAAGGGTCACCTAGCATTGAGGTCAACAATACTTATTCCTCTTGTCTTTTTTTTTTTTTCTCTTCAAAACATAAAACTGGCCCCCTTACTGTATTTAGCAATGTTGGCCACTCCTGTCTCTGACTCCCTACTTCCCTGGCTTCTGTCTCTGTGACTGAGCTCCTTTATTCCCCACTAATCACCCTCAGGGGCGTCTAGTCACTGTGGCCACCAGGCTGGGCCAGTCGCTCTCTGGAGGTGAGTGAGTTGCTGGGCCTCTGGGGTCAACTCTCAGCACACGAGTGTCATTCTGACACTGCGGGCCTGTGGTGTGCGGGGAGCCGTATCCAACTCAGGGTGGAGGCCAGAGCACCCCCTGTTCCTGGGCTTCCATGCCTTCCCAGGCCCCTCCTCTCCAGTGCGGGAAACACCAGGCCTGCATCCAGACCTGGGTAATGACCTTCAGCATCCTGGGTGCACTGGAACTTAGCATGTGCCTGACTGGGAATGGAACCGTGACCTTTTGGTTCACAGTTTGACACTCCACCACTGAGCCACGCCAGCTAGGCTATTTCTATTGAGATGTAAACAGGGTAAATACTAGGTCCTGCACTCAAGTTCAGTCAGTCAATTACACAAACAAGATGGGGAGGCCACCAGGCCAGCTGTTCATGTAAAAGATGAGGCAGGTTTCAGGTAGTCCTGCCAGTGGGAAACTCCACATGCCCATGGCGCAGCTCCTAAAACAGTTTATGCAAATTAAGCTTCATTAATAGGAGCAGAGACATTGTCCGGACCACAGGAACTGACATCTGTGTCACGAAGATACACACACCTTCAGTCGACATACGGGGCTCAAACAGGGGTGTCAGGTTTTAAGAAGCATGTGGATGAGTCTGAGAAAATACAGAAGAGTCTGGGTGGTGGACTGTCTGGAAATCAATTCATCTGAGAGAAGGGGGAATATTGCGTTCTGAGGAAAGCATTCCAAGTGACATTCATTTTTTCCCCCCAAAGAGTTAAAGGGAAAGAGTAAAGGAAGATGTGTCCAATGCTTTTCCAAAGAGAACACCCAGCACCAACACACAGAAGTAACAGGTCCCGGGTTCGATTCCAGCCAAGGGCACATCCCTAATAGGGGGTCTGCAGGAGGCAGCTGATCGATGTTTCTCTCTCATCAATGTTTCTAACTCTATCTCTCCCTTCCTCTCTGTAAAAAATCAATAAATATATTTAAAAAAAAGAAAAAGAAAAGTAAATTTATAGACCGAACCATTTGTTGGACTGTCACTTTTATGTGTTCTCCACTTTACACCTGTTCTGCTAGCTAAAAGACATTTTGGGAGCCTAAGTGGAAGGACATTACCAAAGACCACTTCCTGAAACATCAGTTTTCATGATAATGATGACATGAGTTACCTTCATGTCCACTGACGGATCACCCTGCAGCAGTGTCCACTCATACTGGATGATGGCGTGGTCGTCTGTGCTCTCGCGGCCATCCAAAACCAGCTCGTCCGTGGGCAGACGCAAAACCACGTCCTCTCCGGCCTTGCTAAGTGGAGGCTCATCTTTCTCTGTGAAAGAAAAGAATTCACAGGAGAGATGGTAACCTCGTTTTTATATTTTTAATTAAGAGGCATCTCGTTTGCTACAAGAGATTAAGTCCAGCAAAGAACTGCTAAGAAAACATAAAGCAACTGAAAGTTACTTTTTATCAATTTTCATTGCATTCCCTTTACATAATAAAACAGCAACAAGTTATGAATCTGGGATTTGGCTGTAATATAAGCAGAACAGTGACCGAGGCCCTCCAATGTGTAAATCAGTAGTTTTATTCTCTAGACTGAAATTTTCACTTAATTTATAAAATCCCTATGTTCAAAGTTGTGAAGTGAGTTAATTTTAAACATTCTTGAAATAAACCTTAAAAACACACAAATCACCGAACCGGTTTGGCTCAGTGGATAGAGCGTCAGCCTGCAGACTGAAAGGTCCCAGGTTCGATCCCGTCAAGGGCATGTACCTTGGTTGTGGGCACATCCCCAGTAGGGGTTGTGCAAGAGGCAGCTGACATGCCGAAACCGGTTTGGCTCAATGGATAGAGCGTCGGCTTGGGGACTGAAAGGTCCTGGTTCGATTCCGGTCAAGGGCATGTACCTTGGTTGCAGGCATATCCCCAGTAGGGGGTGTGCAAGAGGCAGCTGATCGATGACTCTCTCTCATCGATGTTTCTAACTCTCTATCTCTCCCTTCCTCTCTGTACAAAATCAATAAAATATATTTTTTTAAAAAAAAGAGGCAGCTGACCAATGATTCTCTCTCATTGATGTTTCTAACTCTCTATCCCTCTCTCTTCCTCTCTGTAAAAAAACAATAAAATATATTTAAAAACAAAACAAAACACACACACAAATCCACCTCTGATGTAGAGGTTCTTATTCGCAAGTTCTTAAAACAGGAGTGACATAAAGTGTTCAATGGTGCAAAATATGGAAAGTCAAGGCAAGTTCTTGGATCCATACAAAAGAAAGCCCACGTAAAATGTAACAGAGTCTAATTTTCCATGTAGGAAAATCACAGCTTCTGATAATTGTTTCACAAGATGAGCCAGCACACTGAGTTTCTGAGTTGCTCCCTCACAGCAAAACAAGTATGTATTTACCTGCGACCTAGAATGGAACTAAATAATTTAAGGCTATTTACAGAGGGCCTCCCCCCAAAAAATGTATACACACACTTGAAATAATTATGAAGCCAGTGCTTATGGAAATACATTTCGTTTTCAAAACTGAGCCACCGGCTATTAACGTGTGTATACATTTTTGGGGGAACATCCTTACTCGCTTAAATAGTAATCCTTAACTGAGGGCGGCTTCAGTGAAGACTGACGGGAGAAGCTGCATTTCTAAGAGCAGGGCTGTGAATATATTAATTGATGTAAGCTTCTTATTTAAAATATATATTTCAGAGAGGAAGAGAGAGAGAGAGAGAGAGAGAGAGAGAGAGAGAGAGAGAGAGAGAGACAGAGAGAGAGAGAGAGAAAGAGAAAGAGAGAGAGGAACATCAATGATGAGAGAGAATCATTGATCAGCTGCCTCCTGCCCATCCCTTACTGGGGATGGAGTCCACAACCAGACATGTGCCCTTGACCGGAATTGAACCAGTGACCCTTCAGTCTGCAGGCCGAGGCTCTATCCACTGAGCCAAACCAGCTAGGGCTGTGGTTGGCAAACTGTGATTCATGAGCCACATGCGGGTCTTTGGCCCCTTGAGTGTGGCTCTTCCACAAAATACCACGGCCTGGGCGAGTCTATTTTAAAGAAGTGGCGTTAGAAGAAGTTTAAGTTTAAAAAAATGTGGCTCTCAAAAGAAATTTCGATCGTTGTCCTGTTGATATTTGGCTCTGTGGACTAATGAGTTTGCCGACCACTGAGCTGGGGTGATTTAAGCTTCTTAGTAGTAAAATCTGACCCGAAGGCATCTGCTGCTTGTCCTGTCCTCCAGTGCCAAAGCTCTGATCCAAACGCTGCCCTGAATGACTGTGGAAGGGACTGGCTTTCTTCCTCCGCAGCCAGAGTTGTCTCCTAAGCAAACTTCCGAGGATCCTAGAGGTTCCAGTGCCTGAGGTGAGAGGATGGCTGCAGTCCTAGTAGTTTCCCAAGAGGCAACCATGAGTAGTCACTCAGTGCATGGCAGCTAGATTCTTCTGGAATGCTGATCAGAAAAGCCCCCACGTCGCCATTCCCTACGGGATGTTCATAGACCCACCTATCCAGCCCTGTCTTCTCATCTAGTGATCCCCTCAAGGCCCAGAAACGGGGGGGCTTACGGGAGGGACTGCAGCTCTCTGAGCTCTGACTTTTCTGAATGAGAATGCTGCTGCCAGCCACAAGAGGAGAGGACTTTTTTAATGAGCATGTTACATGGAACACCCACGCTTGATATTGCCAAAGGGCACATATGTCTACTGAGAACGTAATGAGTCCCATTTTTATAGTCACTTAGAACAATGAGGACTTGTAGCTCAGGTCCACGCCTGATGCCTTATTCTGCTCCTCCCAGTAAGACCAGAGGTGACAACTGCATTGCCAGTGGGCCCTTTTAGGGAGATTTAGAGAGAACTCTTCTTTGGTTCTGGAAGGTTCATGGCTTTCCATGCAACAGTTTTACCATGTTACAATTCTGAAAGCATATCGTGCGGCAGTAAGACGTTAGGGTTAGCAGCCAAATGCACTGAAATTTATCTTAAAATACTATTTTTAAGTAGACAAACTGAAATATAACTGTATGCCCATAAATAGCAATGAATGCTAATGATATACAGATATTAAACCCTTAAAGATTTAACCCCAAATACTTCAGATGGAAGAATCAGGGAACTGTTGAAATATCCCACATATTAAAACAAATTAATCATGTCTTCCTAGAAGAACAAAAAAAAAAGTTATTTTTTTTTTTTTATCATTTAGGTGAGCTGTGAGATGTGAAATCCTCATAGCCTCTAAATAAATCACTGTTACATTTGAAATAACAGAGAGATTGCCCCCTTAGTTCAAAGTCCAGGCAAATCACACTGTACAATGTATTTTAAAATGAGTCAGAGCTTATCTACCCAGAAACAGGCCTTAAAATAAACAAATGATAAGAAGGGGAAAGGTTCCTGCTACTTAAAAACATTTGACTTGCGGAGAAAGAACAAGATAAATGTAATTTTGAATTTGCATCATAAAAATGTAATAAACCCATGTTAAATACCATGGGAACACTGATTTCTTTGGAAAACTAAACATACTGGGTAAGCCTTACAGAGGTAAGACAACACCAATTTTGATGGAGCATAGCAAGGTGGCGTTTTATATAAAGAACAACAATACTGTTCACTCCTCTGATTTACCACCCTGCTGTCCGCAGAGCCTTAACCACAAGAGGTTCTGGAATATGAATCAATCCTGTGCGGCAGGGTGCAAATGTCATAGCTGAGGCTGAGAAATTAGCAGGGCCTCCTGGTCAAGATTCAAAAGTGGGAGGCCAGACTAAAAAAAGAGGTTTAGATAGTATGGGTTTGTTTTGTGTGTGTGTGTGTGTGTGTGTGTGTGTGTGTGTGTGTGTGTGTTTGCCTCTGAGCTTTTCTCCTTTACATTGCATTGCCGTGAATCCTCTCCCAGGGCAGTTTCTATCTCGAAGTCTAAAAAATTTTTTACAGAAGCCTCTCACCGTGCCAGCTTCTGCTCAGTCTGTTGGGATTTTTTTCGGAAACCATCTCTAAGGCTGAGACATGAAAGCCACTCTCCCGGATGCGTGCATCTAGGCTAACTTGGCACACAAGGTGTGTCCTGGTTGCGGAGTGCCCAGAGGTCCTGCCTTAGGCGGGTCTGCCAGAGGCAGCCACCCAGCAGGTGCAAGGACAGCAGGGCCCCAGCGGTCTGGCCCGGGCCTCCCCCATCCCTACCCCCATTCTCCTACCCCCCCACCCCCACCCCCACCCAGGGGCCTGCTTGCCCTGGGGCCTGCTTACCCAGCCGCGGCGAGGCCCGGGCGTTGGCCGGGAAGCCTGCTCCCAGGTCCCGCTGCCCTCCCGGCGCGCGGCCGAGGCTGTAGCTGCTGTAGCCGCGGTGCGGCGCGAACCTGCACACGTTGCGGCCGCGCGCCGTGCAGTTGAAGAGGTAGCAGCCGAGCGCGGCGGCGGCGGCGGCCGGGGGCGCGGGCCGGCGCGGCAGCTCCACCACGGCCACGGAGCAGCGCGGCTCGGAGCAGCAGGCCGCCACGCACTGCCGCCAGCCCCGCACGGCCGCCGGCGCGCTCAGAAAGCTGGCGCCCGCCGCCAGGGAGTCCTTGGTGCGGATGATGGCGTCGGGCATGGCGCTGTAGCCGCCGCCCGGGCCGGGGCAGCCGGGCGGAGGGCCGCCGCCCGCGCGCAGCTCCAGCTCCAGCTCCTCCGGCGGCTCCTGCTGCAGCTGCCGGCGGAACTCCCCGAGCAGCTGCTCCACGCCGGCCAGGGGCGCGGGGAGCGGGCCGGCGGCGCGCCCGCCCGGCAGCCCCAGGCAGAGCAGCAGCAGCAGCGCGCGCAGCCCCGGAGGCGGCGGCCGCCGGCGCACCGAGCCCGAGCCCGAGCCCGAGCCCTTCCGGGCGGCGCAGGCCATGGCGGCCGGCGCGGGAGGAAGCGAGCCGAAGCGGGGCTGCAGAGCGCAAGGGCGGGCGAACCCGGGCCCTGCACCCTCCTCCGAGGCCGCGGCGGAAGGAGGCCTCCGAGCCTCAAAGCTCGGCCTCCTCGGGGCCCGGATGCGCCGCCAAGGCCGGGGGCGCACGGTCGCAGGAAGAAAAGGCAGCAGCGGGGGGCATCGCCGGCCCGGCCTGGCGCCGCCGCTGGGCCTTTCCAGGGTGTCCTCGCGCTCCCGCCACCCTCGGCTCCGACGCCGGGTGCGCACAAGCTGCCGCTTCCCGTTTCAGCACCGGGGACAGCGACACCAGGGACAGCGACACCGGTGGCTCCGCGCCCGGGCTCCGCCCCGGCTCCGCCCCGGCTCCGCCCCTGGCTCCGCCCCTGGTCCCGCCCAGGCTCCGCCCCAGACTCCGCGCTGGCTCCCCGCCCGGCTCCCCGCCCGGCTCCGCCCAGTTCCAGGCGCCTGGCCTGGAGGAGTGTGCTTGTCCTGAGCTAGGGGCCTCCCGCACACTCACTCACGGATTTGCGTTTTTCCAAGATGCCAGGTGGTTTTGTGTGGTGCATTACACGTCATTCCCTTGGTCTCGACACAGTACCTGACATGACTGTCCTGGCGCACAGAGACTCCGCATTAGATGGGCAGAAGAGTCCCAAAAGCCCACTCTGTTCTTGTTCTAAACAGTGGTTCTTGGCCAGCCACACCAGAGTCGGGGCAGGGTTTATATCAAAGCAAACTTGCTCTTTATAAAATAAAAAAATTCAACTTATTCTATTTTTACTACCGTGCTTCCCCGAAAATAAGGCATCCCCCCGAAAATAAGACCTACTTACAGGTTTCCTTCTGAGTGAAGTATAATATAAGGCATCCCACCGAAAATAAGGCCTCCCTAGGCTAAACATGAGAGATTTGGTCCACTGATTCTGAAAGAAATGGAGTCACAAGAAATTCACCAGGAAATTCAGGAATTGGATTGTTATGATGATGTTCCAGAAGATGATGACATGATTGTCATTGAATAAATGAGTAAATTCTTGATACTGTAGGATTCACAGTTTGTCTGGTTTGTGTTGACAACTACCGTACTATGTACTGTATACAGGTAATAAGTTTCCTTTATTTTCATTTAACAATAAATGTGTACTGTATTCTTCTTCATGGAAAAATAAGACATCCCCTGAAAATAAGACTTAGCACATCTTTGGGAGCAAAAATTAATATAAGATACTGTCTTATTTTCGGGGAAACAGGATAGTTGTAATTATGGTTTCCCGTAGGCCCCTCCCAGCGACCCGCAGTGATGGCCACTGGCTTCACACACCTCCGAGAGATCTCTGCCTGCAGCCTGACAGTCCGGCCTCTCCCTGTCTGGTGCAATTGCTCTATCAGAGCAAAAGGGTGGTTCCGTTTTCCTCCCCAACAAGAAAGCCAGCCACGTGTTAGCTGTCTGCCCTCTCCGCCAGCGGAGGTAAACCACAGGAAACTCCGCTGGAGTAAGCCAGCAGCGAACTCTGTGGCGTTATGATAACCAGTTTGGCTCCCAGTTTGGCCTGGGGACTGAAAGGTCCCAGGTTTGATTCCGGGTCAAGGGCATGTACCTGGGTTTTGGGCACATCCCTAGTAGGGGGTGTGCAGGAGGCAGCTGATCAATGTTTCTAGCTTTCTATCTCTCTCCCTTCCTCTCTGTAAAAAAATCAATAAAATATATTTTATAAATAAATAAATACGATAATATAAGGCTAACTAACAATTAGGTATGATTTTAAAATTTGCCACTTTTTGTAGGAAAAGCATTTTATTTATTTATTTTTATTAAATCTTTATTGCTGAAAGTATTATAAATGTCTCCCTATACCTCCATTAACCCCTTACACTTTTTTTTTTTTTTTACCCCTTACACTTTCATAGACATGATTTCCAATGGCTACTGTGGAGTGTGGGGGCTCCGCATAAGAAATTGAGTGCATTATTTCTATGTAGAGATGGGCCAGGGGCCAGGGGCTTGGGGAGACCATGGCTCACCTCTCCCAAGTCCTCAACAGACTATGTCCTGCCCAAGAGCCAGAGGCCAGCCTACAATACTTCCCACCTTCTACAATGTCTAATTTCCAAAGGACCAGGATGACAATGCAGATGCAGAAGAAGACTGAAATGATCAATATGATGATCTTCTTTGGATTTGACAGAACGGCTGCGGACTATGATGGTGGTCCTAAAACAAAGAAAAAAAACAAAGGCCTGTCAAACAAAAAAGACACCTCCCTCAGCACCTACTTTCCCCAGGCAGCACATTGCCCCCATATTTACTGACTCATTATGTAACATCACTAACAGGTACAGGGGTGTAAAGATCGACAGGGGTTGACCGAAACCGGTTTGGCTCAGTGGATAGAGCATCGGTCTGCAGACTAAAAGGTCCCGGGTTCGATTCTGGTCAAGGGCATGTACATTGGTTGTGGCCACATCTCCGGCAGGCGGCGTGCAGGAGGCAGCTGGTCGATGTTTCTCTCTCATTGACATTTCTAGCTCTCTATACCTCTTCCTTCTTCTCTGTGGACAATCAATAAAATAAAATAAAAAATTAAAAAAAAAGATTGACAGGGATTGTGCCTGTATCCTTATGGAACTCATATTGTACTGAGAGAGACAGCAAATGTCTGGTTATCATTGTTAGACAGATTGACTAATTAGACCACTGTAAGGATGACAGAATTGGAGGTCTTAATTCAGTCTGAGGAAAGAGGTGAAGGCTTCATAAGAAGTGACCTTTGGAAGGAAACAACCAAAGGACTTATATGCAAGCATATAGGCCTAACCAATGGACACAGACAACAGGGAGATGAGGGCATGAGTGGGGGAGATGAGGGGTAATGTGGGGATAAGGACACATATATAATCTCTTAATCAATAAAGAAATTAAAAATTAAAGAAGTAACCTTTGAACTGGTTAAAGGTTAACTAAAACACAGGAAGATGAGAAGGCCTGGAATGCTTTCAGATGCATGGACATTTGGAAATCATCTAAGAGTGCACGAAGACTGAATCATTGCTTAGCTTGGGTGGGGACTCCTGCCCTGAGGGAGATGGGATGGGAAACGAGGGTGGTGGCACATTTGATGCTGCCATTGACTCTCAAGATAGGAAGTCCACTAAGAAATTAACCCATCAGTCCATCCATCCCATCTTTAATTGCACACATACACCCACACGGGGAAGCCACTAGATTTTTACTGAGCCACCACGTCCTCACACCCAAATCAGTTACCTGTGGGCTCTGCACTTTCTCCCAATGTTCTAAGAATTCCCTCAGCCCTCCAGCCCCCTTCCTCCACCTCATTCTCCTGGCCACCTATTCCTTTCTGTTCCTTTCCTGGTTTCACAGTCATTCCTTCGTTTTCTAAAAGACTCAAGCTTTTCATTTCTAGGAGCACTTCTGTCTTAATGAAAGGGGCAAAAGACATTTTTTAGTTGTTTTGTCATCAATGATGTTTTTCTAGCCATTTCTAACCCCGTAGAGTCCAAGGCCTTTAAAATATATATATTTTTTTCTTGCTTTCAGAGAGGGATGGAAAGCTAGAGAGATATAAAAACATTAATGATGAGAGGGAATCAGTGCCACCTGGAGGCCTCTGACAGGGGTCAGGGCACTTAAAGCTTTCAGTTCTGCAAATGGTTTTAGCCTCTTTGGCCTTTTCATCCTCACACTGGTCTCATTCATTCAACCATCCACACAGCACCAACCAGCATTGAGTAATGTGGGGTCCTCTGCGGATAATCATCCTAATCCAGAGTAAAACCATGGCCTCTTCAGTTTGAGAAGCTCTCCCGATTCTTGTTCAAAGGGTCCCGTGAATGGTTTTATATCTGCACATACAAAGGCAGCTCAAGTGACAGAGGAAGAGCCATGGACTGCAGTGCGTGGCCCATCTCTCTCATCCATAGAGACCTGGCCCCCAACCTCCGGGAGGGCAGCACCAGGCTACTTGTGTGATCTCCTCATTTAATCTCAGTCCATCAGGTAGCATTTCCTATATCACAAATGTGAAACGAGACCATGGAAAGATGAAGAAACTGGCACAGGCACAGCAGTCGGAAGTTCATGCAAATATCCGATTCCTGTGTGTGGACATGTGGGCTATAGTCCCCATCCACTAATATAGCTTCAGAAGCCAATTCCACCAGCTCTTGGGGTCTAGTGTGAGTCTGGGGACCAGGAGCAAGCAGTGGGGTGAACCAAGATGTGCAGGTGTCCAGAGTTCCATCCTCCTCCCACCTGGCCTTCTTGCCAGGTCTTTCACTCCAGCCTCCTTCCTCCCTCCTGTTCTCCCTGTCCCTTACTTCCGTAACCCAGCCTTGTGGGGTGAGCCTCCCAGGCCCTTCCTGGTTGCTTCCTCCCAGGGATTAAATCCAGGCTTCTGTCCTCAGCCCTAGGCATGGAGTCTCTTCTTACACACAGATCACCTGGATCCACCAAGATCTAACCCCAACCAAGCCTGTGTCCGGCCCAACCCAAAGGTCTCTTGTCTTTCAAAGCACACAGCACAGGCCCCTTTTGCATAATGGCTTTAGCGAATCAGTACAGAGCTTTCTATATCTTTTTTATCTGTTAATACACAGAGTTTGCTGCTATTCTATGCCCCTCAGTTTAAGTAGAGAGAGGCCTGGTATAGGCTTCCTCCACCTGCCTTCAGCCTCAGGACAATTGAACTTACTGTCCCATGGAGCTCATTGTCTTCACTGGGTGAATGTGTGGAGCAGGAGGCCTTAGTCTATGTTGCTTATTTAAGGCTCATGGGTGGGGGCAGGGGACTCAGGACTTCCTAGTCCTTACACCAAGCTAGGACCTTCCCTCAGCCAGAGCCACTTGTCACCAACCTCATCCCTCACATTTCTGCCCCCACCTGGAGTGAACCCCCAACCCAGGCATGGGCCCTGACCTCTCCATTCATAAGACAATGGCCAACCATCTGAGCCCACTGGCCTGGCGAGTTCAATCTTTTCACAGGCTTATTCACCATCTGTGAATGGCTCAAAGCATTTGCCCAAATTTAGGAGAATTAGACTGATCCTTATTATTTGTAGGAGTTCATTGCATATTCTGAATATTGATCCATTCTCTGTGGGGAAATACAACAACTTTGAGATGTAGGGATGTTTCTGCTGTGAAGACTTACTTGTCATTGAAGGAAGTGAGGCAGGGGAGGGATCACAGAGAAGTCGCTGTGTTGGGTGGGGGAATTGGAGAAATCATAAGATTCTCATTGGTTAAGTCCCAGAACATCTGTTGGCATCCAGAGCCTCAGGATAATGTTTGAGACCAATACAAGGTGCCTGCTCACTGAAGACCATTGCATTCTCTGTTTCTGCAAGCAGTTCTAGCAGAATCACTGGTAACGTTTACTCCTAACATGGAAGAACTGCGAGATGCATGGACATTCTCTCCCATGTCATAAAATAAATCTCCATATCTCAAACAACCTTATAAGCCAATGAGGAACTGCCTTATAAGCCAATGATTCCACTTCTGGGAATATATGTGAGGAAACCTGAAACACTGGTTGGAAAGAATGTCTGTACCCCTATGTTCATTGCAGTGCTACTTAAAAACAGCCAAGGTTTGGAAGCAGCCCAAGTGCCCATCAGTGCATGAGTGGGTAAAACATGTGGTACATTTACATAATGGAACACTACTTGGCCATAAAAAGAAGGAAATCTTCTCCTGGCATGTGTATCTCAGTGGTAGGGCATTGGCCTGAGCATAGAGGGGTCACAGGATCAATTCCTAGGTTGCAGGTTTGCTCCCTGGCTCTTGTTGGGGTGCATGCATGAGGCAATGAATTGAGTGTTTGTCTCACAACGATGTCTCTCTCTCTCTTCTTTCTCTTCCCCCCTCCCTTCCACACTCTCTAAAAATCAATAGAAAAAATATCTTCTGGTGAGGAATAACCAAAAAAAAAAAAAAAAGAGGAGGAGGAGAAAGGGAGGGAAGGAAGGAGAAAGAAAAGAAAAAAAGAAGGAAAAAGGAGAAGGAGGAGAAGAGGAAAATATTATCTTTTCAGACAGCATGCATGGACCTGGAGAGCATTATCCTAAGTGAAATAAGCCAGTGAGAGGAAGACAAGTAGCATATATTTTCACTTATATGTAGAATCTGATGAACAAAATAAACTAACAAAGTAAAGACAGACTCATGGATACAGAGAACAGACTGACAGCTGTCAGGGGGGACGTGTTGGGGTACAGGGTGAAAGGTGTTGGGGTACAGGGTGAAAGAGAAGGGGTTAAGCAGAAGATAAACACAAACAAAAATCTGATAGAAAAAATACCTTGTTATTCTCAGGATTTGAGATCACGCTGTTGGTATTTGTCATGTTTGACTCTAAAAACTAAAAAATTCTCTAAAAAAAGAATAACACAAAACTCCAAAGTAAGTTTTTAAGAATATAAACATGTTTATTTAATGATACTATTATAAGATACTAATGAAATAATCATAAATATAATTTTGTTCTTTTTTTTTTTTTTTTTTTTTTAAATATATTTTATTGATTTTGTACAGAGAGGAAGGGAGAGAGATAGAGAGTTAGAAACATCGATGAAAGAGAGTCATCGATCAGCCGCCTCTTGCACATCCCCTACCGGAGATATGCCCGCAACCAAGGTACATGCCCTTGACCAGAATCGAACCCGGGACCCTTTAGTCCCCAAGCCGATGCTCTATCCATTGAGCCAAACTGGTCCCGGCTAATTTTGTTCTTTTAAAACACAAAATTATTTTGTGTACTGAGAGAAGGTCTCAGGTTTGGCACTTTTTAGCATTATCATTTGGGTGAAAAGCCATGATGCAGAGATGTGTCTGATCTTCCACAAAGAAGATGGAAAATGTTCTCTGTGTTCAGATTTCTTATTGCAGCTATTAATGTTTAAATGTAGCAATCACATCTCTTAGCACCACAGAAAGTGACCTGATGTTTAAAAAGCCCTGAGAAGGATAATCAGCAAATGCAACAACAGACATGAGATGCTGCCTCTGCTGTCTCATCCTGATCAGACCCTGGTCTCTGGACGAAAGCTTTGAACTCCTCGTGTTCTAAAAATGAGCAGCAGGTCATCCAGAGGCAGCTGGGGAGAGGCAGAGTTGCTGAGCTCGTTCACACCACCAGGGCCTCCTTGGTTGCATCCTCATCATTGTGTAGTAGTCGTCGTTGCATCAGCAGCCTGCGGAAAAGGGCGAGTGTTGGTCCCAGGGGCTGAGGATACAGCACTCCAGTGACTCCCCATTTCCAGCCCTGCCCCCACCAGAGTCATGCCTTTCCTGAACCTGCCCCCCCCCCTGCCCTGGGACCAGCAGCCTGTACCAAGCTCTGCCCACCCTCTCTGCACATCACAGTGTCACCCCAGCCCCGCTACAGACGTTCTGGGCTCAGGACTAAAGTAATGAGTCCATCTGCTCCCTTCACTCCTACGGGTGAGAGGGTCTAAGGACTAGTGGGAGCTCTGATGGACAGGAAGGCCCTTCCTCACACCTGACAGCTTGGGGAGGGTTGCAGACAATTTCCTTCTTCTCCTTTCTCTCCCAGCCTCTCACCTAGCAGCACACAGAACTCTCAGTATGACCGCCCAGCCCTGCCCTAGCATAGGGGCTCCTCAGTGGCTCAGGATCTGGGATGTGGAGGAGGTCGGCTGTCAGGTGATTACACCAGGGCTCAGCCAGGAATCCCAGGCCTCCTTCTAACCTTAAAGTTTGTCTTCTTAAATAGTCCTTACTGTTCACCTCCCCCTTACTGGGCCTTCCAAAGTCCCTTTTGGGGAACTCCAGCCTTTTGAGTTGGGTCTGCAAGGCCTTCTGCTTATCTTCCAGGGATTAGACCAGGTCCTCCCCTCTCAGCCTTGGGTACTCCCTTCCCTGGACACATCACATGCAGCCAGCATGCTGCTCTCACCTGAAAGTGAGTACTGCCCATGCCCTGTGTGCCTCTGTCCCCACTCCACCCACCCTGGCCCCAAACACTCTCCCAAACAGAGACTCTGAGTCAGGACTACAATCCCTAAACCCCTTCAGCATGTGCCCGCCTTAGCCTTGGTGTGGACTTCTCCCATTCGCACTGGCATCATCAGTGAGGAGACAGCAGCACTCAGGGCTGAGCTTGTGCAACTGATTGCTGCTAAGTGGCAACATGTGTTAGTCTCCTGGTCTAATTTCCAGGAGCAGAAGTTTAAGGAAGGCGGGGTCAGGGGTCAGGCTGAAATTCATCTTGCCCTGTCCTCACCCCATTCCATCTGTGCCTCATTTCCCACATAATTATGCCCTCAGTACCTGTAAAGGCCCCAGCCTAAGATGCCAATGATGATCAAGCAGGCGACGATCACAGAGAGGATTAAAATGATGGGCGTGTTGGCCTTGGACGGGACTGTGGCT